TGGCAAAGTCTATTTCAAATGTGTGCTACAAATGCACATGTGTGCTCACACACATGTATATGTACACACACACAGCAGCCACACATTTTCTTATATAAGTATAGAGGCTGGGACACTTACCCTGCCTTCTACACCAAGAGTGGACCTTTCTTCTCAGAATTAGAGGGATAATGGAGGACAGAGATGCATGTTTCTCCTAAACCTCTCAGACCTTCGAAGACACCTAAATCTCAAATTAGGGGAGGAGATTTTTGAGGTACTTATGTATTTTGTTCTCATAATTTCTTCTGTACCCTAGCCTTCTCATGCTGATAACTGGCATTAGCTGGTTTTCATTGCTTCCAGGGAAGAATGGCATTGCAGAATGCTGACAGCAAAGAAGTCGAATGCTTGGCTTTTAAGGTTCAGAACACTAGATCAGGGCATAAATAAAAGAACTGGTAAGAATGCCTGAAGAGCAACAACAGAGCTTCCCTGTTCTGTGCAAAGGCTGGAGTTCCCTGAGCAGAGTCTGTTGAAACAGACTGTGGCATCGATAGTGTCTGATGTCACCCAGTGAGGGCTCACCTGGCCTGTCTTAGGGTGGTTATAATAAGTATTTTTGTCTCTAGTTCAGAAGAACAAGAGAGTCACTGGTGGCAGAAAAGATGGAAGAAATAAGGGGAGAATTTCTCCTAGAGTGTCCTCAACTTGAAACCGAAAGGCACAGCACCTAAATGTTTTTGGTAGTCATTCTTCCAGCACATTTGCCACTGGGAGCTGGCAGGAGCTTTCTGAAGTTGTTTCTAGGCTCGGGAACATGTTGATTTGGGTCATGGCCATTGTCCATATCTAGGTCACGCCAGAAGACAGCGTTAGGGGTGCCCTTGCCTCTCCATCCCCCTAGCGGGCTGGATCCACGTGGGGTGAGCGTAGGGTCATGACCTCTCTCCCAGTGTGACCCTCACCTGGCATTAGTGAGCAGTCTGCTGAACAAGAGGTAGTTTCCTGAAAACTTGTCCTTAGAAGAAAAAGTAGAATTGAGTGATTAGAATCAATGCTAGAATACTGCTAGAATCACTGGGATTAGCTGGGTTTTGAGAACAGGTTGATTTTATAATATCAGGCATGGCTTTGATTTACCCTTTAGGATATTTTTCTAGGCATAATACAGAATATACTGAAGGATGTTTGACTTCTGTTAGGACTTTAAGAGAGTACTAATTGCATTATTACACACTTTACAGAATACGGATCAGAAAACTTGTCATAGTCCAGTTTATATAAAAAAGGTGGAAATAATCTTGCTGAATACCGTAGGAGGTTATTTATTTCACCAATTAATTAACTCCACAAGTATAAATACGAAGGAAGAGATATATTATTTATGTCGGTTGGTACCTGTGTCTTAGTTTGGGTTCCCCTGAAAGCAAACTCTGAGATAAGAGCTTGGATGTAGATGGTTTATTTCAAAGTGAACCCAAGAAGTGCAAGGGTGAAGGTGCGGACAGTAAGACAAAGAGGGGAGATGGTGAGTGGAGGATGCCCTGATGAGCAGGTTACTGCTGGGCACAGCCAGGTCCTGGTGCTGCCAGGGACTCTAGAAATCCTAGAACTCTAGGAATTCTGGAGAATTATGTAAACCCTATCTCAGAATAGTCCCACCACGCCTATTCACTATGACACAATAAGTACTTATCCACCAATTTCCTTTACTTAAGGATTGAAGTTGTCCCTGAAGTTAAATCCCCAGCACTTCTGGCCTGCTCTGAGTGAAAGGTGAGCTGCTCCCTCATGCCGGGAAGCCCTCAGGCAGAGATGGAGTCCTCGGAGGTGGGAAGCTCTCTGTGCACACAGTTACTGTCCATCTGCAGCAGCACATGAACTCGGAGCTGGGGTTGAGGGAACAAAGAGCAATGTATCTGCCATGGCTGCTGCAATCTCTTTGGGAATTAGAACATTTCTAAATATGTGTATTTATCTTTTCAATCCCCTATGCCAGGAAAGGAATTGTTGAAGGGAAAGCCAAGAGACTTTAGATTCTGGTGGGTCCTAAACTACTGAGAAGTATCCTAAACTCCTACCCTAAGCCAAGTCCCAGGAGAGAGATGATATAGGGAGGCAAATGACAGAAACCCCCAATAGTGTCCCCATCTTTTATAGCACAGAGAAATGACAAGATTGCAGAATCTCCTTCAAACAGCACAGTGTGGGAGCAGAAGAATCCTGTTGGGTGTTTAGGCTGCTGGGTGTAAGGTAGCCTCACAGAGTTCCTCATTCCCCTGAGAAGAGGGATGTGGGCATGTCACAGAAAGCCTGTGCAGGTGTATGGAGCAAAACCTCTACAGAGAAGTGTCTGGAGACCAGATGGGGACAGGGCCCTTTCAGAGGACTTTGATGTAGATGACAAGGACAAGGACAGGTGCCTGGGCCCTGTGGGATCCCCATAAACTAGACCTCACCCTGGGTAAAAGTGAATGGTGACACTTTGAACCCCTGAGATTGGTTTTCCTACCAAGGAGAAGGGGTTCATGAGTTCACTTACAGTAAAAATAAAAGCCTTCATCAGGCCTTGCATATCTTAGTCTGCGGCCTCCATACACATGGAACAAAGCTCCTTTGTTTCCTTCTCATACCCAAGCAGAACATATCCTGTGACCAGAGAGAAGCAACTTGAGTGTGGGCCTCTTTCTTGTCATGTAAGGGAGTTGTGTTCTTTACACTAGTGCTCTAAGACCTTAGCATACATTAGACGCCTTCAGAGGGCTTGTTAAAACACAGAAGCCTAGGCCCACCCATAAATACTGGCTCAGTAAGTCTGAGAAAGGCCTAAGAAGGACCTCTGTTCTTGGTTACCTTTTCATATGGTTTGGCTGTGTCCCCGCCCAAATCTCATCTTGACTTGTAACTCCCATCATTCCCATGTGTCCTGGGAGGAGCCCTGTGGGAGGAGATTGAATTACGGGAGTGGGTCTTTCCTGTGCTGTTCTCATGATAGTGAATGAGTCTCACATTAACTGATGGTTTTAAAAACAGGAGTTTCCCTGCACAAGCTCTCTCTCCCTTTGCCCACCTCCATCCATGTAAGACATGACTTGCTTCTCCTTGCCTTCCACCATGACTGTGAGGCTGCCCCAGCCATGTGGGACCGTAGGTCCAGTAAACCCCTTTTTCTTCCCAGTCTCAAGTATGTCTTTATCAGCAGCATAAAAATGGACTAATACACCTGTGCATTCAGTGATGGGCCTGCTGCTCATGGCTGTGCACAGAAAGGGCATTTGAGGCACCGTGGACACCAGGCCTCTCTCTGTTAGTCCTGTGTAAAAGGCCTTCCTACCCATGCTTGCCCCTGTGCCATTTAGACACAGTAAGATCCTACTCTCAGTGCTGTTCCTTCCCAATAAAATCTGTAGCCAGATCATGAAAGAGGAAAGAGAGTGAGGGTGTGTGCTTGGCCATCTCGGGCATTCTGAGGGAAGGGAGAAGTTGAGGTTGGTCATTTGGGTAAGTGGTTGCATGCCGTACATTTCCTTTCTTCCCTTTCTAAGGCCCCAGGGTGTTACCTTGATGTTAAGAATTTCTTTATTGTATAATGCATAGTGTATATCATGTCACTCGTCTCTGAGAGTCATTTATTGAACAACCGTGTACTACCAGGCCAGGCACTGTGTTGAGTGTGAGAGAGATGAAGATGGAGCAACCACTAATGGGGAAGACCAAAAAGCAAACAGCCATCACTGTGTTATAGCTGTCTTAGTCCATTTGTGTTGCTTTAAGGGAGTACATGAGGCTGGTAATTTATAAAGAAGTTTATTTGGCTCGCACTTCCGCAGGCTGTACAAGAATCATGTACCAATATCTGCTTCTGATGAGGACCCCAAGCTGCTGCCATTCATGGTGGAAGGCAAAGGGGAGCCTGCACATGCAGGGATTATATGGCAAGAAAGGAAGCAAGCAAGAAATGGGACGAGGCCAGGCTCTTTTTTTTTTTTTTTGAGATGGAGTTTCTCTCTGTTGCTCAGGCTTGAGTGCAGTGGCGTGATCTTGGCTCACTGCAACCTCTGCCCCCTGGATTCAAGTGAGTCTCCTGCCTCTGTCTCCCAAGTAGCTGGGATTATAGGTGCCCACCACCATGCCTGGCTAATGTTTTTGTATTTTTAGTAGAGACGGGGTTTCACCATGTTGGCCAGGCTGGTCTTGAACTCCTGACTTCAGGTGATCCATCCACGTCAGCCTCCCAAAGTGCTGGGATTACAGGCATGAGCCACCACGCCCAGCGCCAGGCTTTTTTTAAACAATCAGTTGTCACAGGAACCAAAAGAGTAAGAACTTACTCACCCCATCTCCCTCTGCTCCAGGGAGGGAATTCATCTATTCATGAGGGATATACACTCATGACCCAGACACCTCCCATTAGGCCCCACGTCTAACATTGAGAATCAAATTTCAACATGAACAGAAAATTTTCATTCCTTTTTTTAGGCAGATAGCGACTTTTTAAACACCAAACCTGCCATGGCTTATGAGAAAACAGACAGATGAAAAGCTAAAGAGAAAAATGTGCAGAAACCCAGCGGTGGTCTAACTGGGGTATTGATCATCTCACCTCTCTGAGCGCTGAGCCAGCCTGGAGATTAGACAAACGATGCTCTGAGTCCCAGGAGAGAGCCGTGGCCTGCAGCTGAGGCTTCACCAGATCTAGCTGACCTTGGTCTGGAGCCAAGAATCCCAAGCCCCAGTCACCCAGCCCCAGTTCTCGTGGGATCCTTTTTTCATGGGTTGTCTCTGTCATAGGAAGACCAAGGCAAAGGCTCTGGACATTAGTGTGACACCTGACCTCATTAGAGCTTAAGGAAATAGATGGAATGGGAGAAGGAGAGAATGGAAATGACAGGGCAAGAGCAAGAGTTGAGAGAAGGCAGAGGAGGGGGGAGGGAGGGGACGGCAAGAGGAACTGTATCTGTTTCCTGTGGCTGCCATAACAAAGTCCCACAGGGGGGTGGCATAACAGAAATGTATTATCTCACAGTTCTAGCGACTGGAAGTCCGTGGTCAAGGTGTCGGCAGGGCTGGTTCTTTCTTAAGACGGTGAAGGAGAGTCTGATTCATGGCTCTCCTAGACACCAGTGGTTTCCCGGCCGTCTGTGATATTCCTTGGCTTTTAGATGCCTCAGCCAGCTTCTGCCCTCTTCACATGATGTTCTCTGTGCATGCCTGTCTCTGCCCAACTGTCCCCTTTTTGTGAGCACCAGTCAGATTAGATTAGGGCCCGCCCTAATCACATCCTTTTAACGTGATAATCTGCAAAGATCCTATTTGCTGTCATGGTCTCTTTCACAGGTTCCCCAGGGGAGGTAGCGCTTCAGCGTAATTTTAGAGGACATGATTCAACCCATGATAGGAGCAAGGGTGAGAAAGAGAGGAGGAGAGAGCAAGGTCTGGGCCTCCTGTGCCAGGGGACGGTGGGGGTGGAAGGAACTGGCAGCAAAGCTGGCGGGGACAGCAGCAAAGGCCCGGGGAGTGGAACAGTGTGCTTTGTGTGCTTTGGAAAAACAGCAGTGAACAATCAGACAAAAGTCCTGCCCTTGTAGAGCTTATGTTTCATGGGAGTGGGTAGAGAAACAGACAGTAAACACACCTTAGTATTTTAATTTGCCAGGTGTTGAGAAGAGCCTTGGAGATTCTCAAAGATGGCCCCGTGTCGATGATGGGCTTTCCATGTAGAATGTTGGGTCCAGGAAGACTTCACTAAATAGGTAACATTGGAGTAAACACAGAAATGAAGAAATGAGCCATATGGTGTGGATGAAGTTCTGGGGAAAGAGGGCTGGCAGGGTGACGGCCCTGGGCTGGGCTGTTCTTGGCAAGTTCAAGGCCAGTGTGGCTGGAGATGAGTGGATGACGGTGACAGTGCACACTTGGCTTTCTGAAGGCCTCCTGGGTTTGAAACCACCTAATCCTTATCCTCATTAACCTCAAAACGTCCCCAGAAATTCTGAACTACACCTCGCAGGGTGTCTGCCTCTTGAATTTGGAAATGACACAGCATCCCCACCTGTACACCCTGATTTGAGATTTGGAAGACACAATTCAATCCAGAAATTGCTAAGTGCTGCCCACTGGGCGTTATGCTGGGCTCCCAGGAAAGCAACCACACTTAACCCACTATTTCACCTTTGACTTTAAGAAAACATGCGTGTCAACATGCTTGTCCATGTGTATGTGCACAGACACACCACACCACACACACTGAGAGTAACAACTGAGTCAAAAGATGAAACTTTTTTTTCCATGAAAAGTTAAGCTGATGTTCTAAGACCAAAATAAAGACAAACAACGAGCAGGTTCATTGTGGCACGTCCCCAGTGGCAGTTTCCCCCTCCTCTCTCGGTTGCAGACAGCACAGCTGCTTTACAGCCATCAGAAGAAATGCAGCTTATAGCGATGCTCAGTTATCCTTCACCCTGTTCGAGCCAGAAGCCCGAAAACTCTGAGCATGCTGGATCGCCTTCTCCCTCCTACCTACCTCACCACCTCAGTGATCTCAGACCTCATCTGCAGGAGTCCAACTTTGTATCCGCAGGCCAGGCCCCTCCCTGACCTTCAGCTGTCCTACATCCTGCTGCCTTCACATCATCTCCTCTTAGCTGTCTAAAGGACATCTTGGCTTTCACGTGTTCCAAACCCAGCCGCTGGTATTCATCTCCTTCCACCTTCTCTCCTTCCCCATCTTGGTTCATGGCAACTCTAGTCTTCCAGCTACTCAGGCCGAAATCAGAACTCATCCTTGACTCTTCTCTTTCTCTCACAGTAGTTGTTAATTCATCAGCGAATCCTACAGGTTCCTCCTTAGAATACTTCAAGAAGCTGATGTCACCACTGATGCCGCTTTTGTGCAAGCCAAGAGCCTCTTGGTTGGTCTCCCTGCTCCTGCTTTTTGCCCCGCACTGACTAGTCTCAACCCAGCAGCCAGAATGACCCAGTTAAAACCCTTCAGGTTGCGTCTCTCCTCTGAGGACTCCCCTCTCAAAGGAAAAGCCAAAGTCCCTTCAGTGCAACCAGGGGGTGCCCTACACGGTCCTCCTGCCTCCCTTGCCTCTCTTATTCTACTTGCCATCAGGTTCCACCATGCGCGCTTTGCTTCAGCCATGCTGGCCTGCTGCTGTTCCTCAGACGCGCCGGCACACTCTTGCCTCGGAAGGTTCATATTCTCATTCTCTCTGCCCCGAACGCTCAATGTCACACAGCTGTGCAGCCGCCTTCTTTACACAAATGCTAACTCTTCCATGAAACCTTTCTCCACCACTCAATGTCCATTTCCAAGCCCAGTGCATGCTCCTCAGCCCCGTCCATGCTCTGACTTTTTGCCTTCATCCGCATCACCATCTGACCCAGGGGATAGTTTTAATTGTATCTCTCACTAGACTGCAAGCTCCATGAGACACACATTTTTGTCTGTGTTATTCATTGCTGTACTTCCAGTTCCCAGAACAGTTTTGGCACATAGCATGTGCTCATTAATTACGTGTTGGTTGAATGAAGGGAGCCTTATGATGGAAGGAACATGCCACTCCTTTTCCAGCATCCCCGTCAGTGGCCAGGGCAGAGTAGGGATTCAGCTGCTCTTGTGGGGGCAGGAGGGACTGGCATGACCATCTCCCTTAGCATCCTCATTTTCAGGACAGGGACAGTGGTCCCCAGGAAGGGGAAGGAGAGTCCAGTCTGGTTTGGCTGATCCCCCGTGGGAGGCCGAGGGTGCAAATGGACAGCTGCAGCTCCTGGCATCTATGCCACATATACAGGCTTTCTGAATCAGGAGGGAATGTTCTTTCCTTTTGAACTCAGGATATTCCTGTTTTGATTTGGCTGTAGCAGTGATGACGCTGAACTGTGCAAAGCCTGGGAACAGTGAGGGCATTAGGACCAGGAGCGAGGCGCACGCTTGGCTCCGGGCTGTGTCTGGCAGAGGGCTCTCGGCTGAGTGGAGCTATGTGTGAAAGGAAACCAGGCACTGCCTGCCGGCTTTACATCTGTTGATCTGACCCGACTGGAAGCGTCCAAAGAGGGACGGCTGTCAGCCCTGCTTGACTGAGAACCCACCAGCTCATCCCAGACACCTCATAGCAACCTATTTGTGCAAAGGGGGAAAGAAACACCTGAGCAGAATCATTATTTTTTTTCCCCCAAGGAGAAAACCGGGGTAAGGGAGGGAAGCAAGTCAGTTTGAAGTCCCTGTGAATGGGCTTTCTTTCAGAAGGCAATTAAAGAAATCCACTCAGAGAGGACTTGGGGTGAATCTTGGGTCCTGTGGTTTTCTGATTGTAAGTGGAAGCAGGTCTTACACACGCTGTTGGCAAATGTCAGGAGCAGGTTAAGTGACTGGCAAAAAACCTTCCAGATGGAAGGAGCAACCCAGGTTCTGCTGCAAGCTTGAAGGAGCCTGGAGCGGGAGAAAGCAAACTTGAACATGACCTGTTGCACTTGGCAAGTTCCAGCAACATGCTCCTAAGGAAGCGATACAGGCACGGACCATGCAGACTCCAATTCCTCCTGCTGCTCCTGATGCTGGGATGCGTCCTGATGATGGTGGCGATGTTGCACCCTCCCCCGCACACCCTGCACCAGACGGTCACAGCCCAAGCCAGCAAGCACAGCCCTGAAGCCAGATACCGCCTGGACTTTGGGGAACCCCAGGATTGGGTACTGGAGGCTGAGGATGAGGGCGAGGAGTACAGCCCTCTGGAGGGCCTGCCACCCTTTATCTCACTGCGGGAGGATCAGCTGCTGGTGGCTGTGGCCTTACCCAGGGCCAGAAGGAACCAGAGTCGGGGCAGGAGAGGTGTCAGCTACCGGCTCATCAAGCAGCCGAGCAGGAGGCGGGATGAGGAAGCCACAGAGAGGGACTGGGGGACCGAGGAGGAGAACGGGGAGGCATCTGAAGAAGAGGAGCTGACCCCATTCAGCTTGGACCCACGTGGCCTCCACGAAGCACTCAGTGCCCGCGTCCCCCTCCAGAGGGCTCTGCCTGAGGCGCGGCATCCGCTGTAAGTAAGGCCCTTGTTTCCCCTTCCTTGATCCCAGGACATGATCAGGTGGGAGTGATCTCAGGGATGCCAGCTTTCCATACTCTGCCTCTCCTGTCCTTAGGGCAAGTGCTTTCCAAGATGCGCTACCTGGGCCAGCAGCACCAGCATCCCCTGGGCACTGATGGGTTCTCAGAAATGCAGATTCTCAGACCCCATCCCAGGCCTGCTGAACAAGAAAGCCTGGGTGGGTTCAGTGTTCTGTATGAACAAGCCCTTTAGGTGAGAACTGTTGCCCTAGAGAGAAGAAAGTGAGAACTCTAGCTTGTTCATTCTCTTCTCTGTCCTGGGTTCTAGTTCCTCTGTCTGTAGGTCGAATGGTTTATCTGAATAACACAGAAGGTAGGTTAGAGCAGACATTCTCCAATTCTAACCCTCTGACCACTACATTTGATTTTAAGGTTATTGTTAGTGTTTGCTTTTAGTTTGGATCAAAATAACAACTGCAGTTTACATTTAGGGGGCTCTTCCCATGTGCCTGGCTTTGCTTTACAAGCTTTTAGTGTATTAACTCATGGAGTCCTGGAAAGCTCTCACAGCTCTGCAAGATGGGTGCGAATAGTATCGTCATGCTTATTTTATAGGTATGAAAACAAGGCCAACTGGCTTTCCCAGTCACACTGCTAGTAGGTAACTAAGTCAGGATTTGAATGCGGGCATGCAAGCTCCAGTTGGCCTGGCCCACACTTCGTGCCACCCTCCTTGGGCCACTAGACTAAGAAAAGCAGTCAGTGCCTGAGAGCCAGAATACTGTGCTGACTGCTACTTACCATGCCAGGGCAGCCCCAGCCCCAGGAGGGAAGCTGAGAAGTGTAGGTAATGTACAGAGCTGTGCCCAGGGAGATGCTGCCTATCCTCCACCTCCTGCCCCCTTACTGTCACCATAGCTGGCCACTGAGGAAGGAGCCTTGGTTCCCAGCATCCAGGGAACAAGGCGGCTGGTTAGTTTTAGTTTGGTGATTTAGGTCCCTTTTCCTATAAACCATTGCTCCTCCCAGAGCCTGGAGAGTTTCCCGGAAAGCAAACATATCCTCTAACCCTTGAGGTGACAGTGTCTGTGCAGAGCGGCAGTTGGCAGCAGGGCCACATACTCCTCGGCTCCCTGGTCTAGTTCCCCTCAGCCTGGCTGCGCAGCCACTCACACTCAAGGGCATGCAATTGCAGAGGTAGCAGCGGGAGGGAACCCCTCCTTAAACTGTGTGCCTGGGGTGCCCCACTCACCTCACCCTACTTCCATTCATTCCAACCCCATTACACTGATTTCAAGCCTTGCCTTTAAAAGCTCTTTCCAGGAAATTCCCACCCCGTTCTAGTTTTGTGCCCCCCTTGCACCCTGGAGTTTTAACTCATAGCACTTACTACAACTAAAGCCAAATGACCATTGATGTATTTATCAGTCAACGCCTGCTTTCCCTGCCGGGCTGTGAGCCCCTTGCAAGGTCAGGACTGGATTTGTACTGTACATCCCAAAGCCCAACATGCAGTAAAGAAGTGATTGCTGAGTGAACAAATAAATAGTTTGCAAATTTTTTGACGCTGTTATTCATTGGCCTGGAGCAAGAACAAGGATCCTCCTTTTGCCAATAAGAAATATTGCCTGAAACAAGAGGGTCTGTGGCTAGCAAAGTGGTGTGTGTGTGTGACTGTGTGTCTGCATAGTGCAAATGTGCAGTGCATATGCATATTTGTGCGTGCATGGTCTATGTGTGTTTGTGCCTGTGGGTTGTATATATTCTCTGTGTTGTGTGTGCATTGCGTTATATGTACTAAATGGATGTGCATGTATGTTATGTGTAGTACGTGCATGTATTCTGCATTATGTGGTGCGTATATGCTTGGTGCATCTTTGTGTATGTGGTATACGCACAGGTGTGAGTTGTGTGCAATGTGTTGTGTGCATGTGTGTTAATCTGCATGTATTTGCACGGTTCATATATGTATTGTGTATTGGGGTGATGCTACATGCATTGTTCACCTGCATGTGTGTTGCAATTTGCTCTTTGTTTTAGATATGTTTATGTGGTGCATGTGTGCACAGGTACTGAGTTGTGACTGTTTCTTGTGTATGCCGTGCTTCTGTGTGTAGAGTGTGAGTGTGTGGATTGTGCGTGGTGCATTGCGCTATAAGTGCGTTGTGTGAATGGTGTATGCATGTGTGTTCAGGTGTATTATGTTTATTATGCATGTGGCATGAAGTGCATGGGTATGCTGTATGTGGCACAAATACAGGTAAATTTGTGCTGTGTGTGCTGTGCATGTATTTGTGGGTGCTGTGTGTGTAGTGTGCACAGGTATGATATATGCGTATATTGTGTATCTTGTGTATGTGGTGTGATGTGCACAGGTACTGTGCCTGTGTGTGGTGCAGTGTTTTCCATGTTTTCATGGTACATGTAGGCATATGTATTTGTGTGTTGCTTGTGTTATAAATGTGTGACAAGTGATACATGTGTCTGTACAAGCATGTCGTGTGTGTTGTGCATGTAGTGCGATGTTCATGAGTGTGTGATGTGCACTGCGAGGTGTGTGGTGCAAGTCTGGGTACATTTTGTGCTGTGTGTGATGTGCACGTGTGATTGTGTGTGAGCAACACGTCAGCAGTTGCTTCTTCCAGCCAGAGTAACCAACTCGTCTTGATTTGCCTGAGACGTCCCTGATTTTAGCACTGAAAGTCCCAGTTGGGGGTGGGGGAACCCCTTAACCCTGGGAAGCGAGAAAATTGGATTCTCTTAACTCCCAGTTTGCCGGGGTTGTACGGGACTGCCGCCAGCTCTGTGCGGAGGTGCTCAGCGCCCTCTGCTGGCCCAGGCTAAGGCATGCAACCTGTGCAGCCCAGGCCTTGGTCACAGACTCCCCTTTCCAGTCAGGTTCAAGCTCTGGAGCCTTCCCTTCCCTGGATTCCTCGCCTGCGTACACAGGACAGTCCCTGCAAAGCAAAGCAACGATCTCCATCCTCCCCCCAGGGTGACAGGACTCTTCTGCTCCTACCCCTTTAAATCTGGACCACAATACAGCACATAAGAGAAACGGCCATGTGTTAAGTGCCTGCTGTATGTGGGCCCTGCACAGCTGCTTTCCCACCAAAGCCAGGGGAATGCTAGGATATCAGGGGCCAGTGCCTCCAGCTGCAGCGCACCCCGTGCGATCCCTGGCCACAGAGTCTCCTGTAATTCCATTCTTGACTCCTAACCCAGACAAGTCCCTCTGGCCCAGTTCCTTCACCAAAACGCCCAAACTAGCCCTACCTGTTGTCCTTTCCCCCCTGCCCAGGCCACAGGCCTTTTCTGAGTACCTCTAGGGTCATTTCTGGAGGTCAGTTTGAATAGGTGGCATTTGAGGAAAATTACCATGAAACCAGAGCAAAAAATAAAAATATCAGGGGAAAAGAGGTCAAAAGACAGTCTCTGGAAAGAGAGGCACAATTAAAGGGAATGTTTATTGAGCACTTACTATGTGCTAGAGACTCTGCTAAGTGGTTTTTGTCTTTAACTCTTCATAGAGAACCTATAATGTAGGTTTCATTTCATGGATGAGGAAACTGAGACACAAAAAGGTGGAGGGACTGGTGCCAGGTTATCTGACCAGGTGAGTATGACACCAAAGTCACACTCTTCACCACCATGCTCCAGTCTGCAAGTTCGCCACTCCCCAGAGCAGAGATTGGACAAGTCACACGGGCTGGAAGTGTTTCAAGTTTTTCCATCTTAAAATGGGGAGAACTCACACAGGTCCATAGGGAGACACTTGGGGAAATGCTTATCACAGCATCCTTGGTGGTGCTGAGGATCTGGAAGCCACCTGGGTGTCTCTTCACAGGGCAGAAGGAACTGGGTGCACCCTATGAGATACTCAGCCTGAGTTAGAAGCAACAGACTCTGGGTACATTTAACAGTGAAGGGAGACCTTAAAAATCCCCCGCTGAGTGAAAAAGTCAGGCACGGAAAGAGGCCTACAGCACTGTATCATTAGGAGAATGTAAATCCATGCACACTAACCAACCCATTCTTTACAGGACAGATCAAACTCAATGGAATGGTTGTGTTGAGGGAAAAGGAGGGTCCTGGGGCAGAAGTGGGGATAAAAGTGAATGAATACACAGGCAAGATAGAGAAGGGCGCGTGATGGAACCACAAGCAGGAATAGGATTAACTCAGCCCTTCAAAGCTGCTGTCAAAGAAGAGGCGGGAGGAAGCAGCCCTGCCCATTTAGCCTCCTACAGCCCGGCTTTCAAAGTTCCTCCAGGCCCAGCTCTCCTTTGATCATCCTGGCATCCAGTGCAGGGGCAATGGATTCCTAGGATCAAAGAGGCTGCTGTGTGCGCCAGTGCGTTGTAATCTACATCTAGGGCTGTGCCTCTCCAATGCGAGTGCGCATCGGAACACCTAGAGGGCTTGTTAAAATAACAGATTCCTGGCCTCCATTCCTGTAGTTTCTGATTCAACATTTCCATTTCTGTGAGCTCCTGGTACTGCTGCTGCTGCTGCCACTGAGCCAGAGACACTTTGAAATCCTCTGCTCTAAGGCACACTCTTTATGCCAAACTGAGTGGCCAGAGCAGTGCTCCTCAAACTTTAAAGGGCATGCAAGTCATCTAGGCATCCTATTAAAATGCAGCGTCAAATTCAGCAGGTCAGGAGTGCAGTCTCGGCTGCGCCGTTGCTATCAAAAGCACTCCAAGTTGGCAGCAGCACTGCTGACCTACAGAGCACATTTTTCTTTTTTTTTTTTCTTTTTCTTGAGATGGAGTTTTGCTCTTGTTACCCATGCTGGAGTGCAATGGCACGATCTCTGCTCAAGGCAAACTCCGCCTCCCGGGTTCAAGTGATTCTCCTGCCTCAGCCTCCTGAGAAGCTGGGATTATAGGCGAGTGCCACCACACCCGGCTAATTTTGTATTTTTAGTAGAGATGGTGTTTCTCCCTGTTGGTTAGGCTGGTCTTGAACTCCTGACCTCAGGTGATCCGCCTGTCTCAGTCTCCAAGTGCTGGGATTACAGGCGTGCACCACCGTGCCCGGCCCAGAGCACATTTTTCAGCAGCGAGGAGCCATATCACGACGGCCCAAAAGCAAGTGCACATCCATCCCCCTGTGTTGCTTGTTAAACACGTAGATGTTCAGCCCCCTCACTCCCCTGCTCCAGAGTTCTGAGTTGGAGCCCAGGAATCTGAGTTTTTAAAGCTGATGCCAGGTAGTCTGGGGAAGTACTGGTAGCGAAAGTGAGTGGAAAGCCGCTAGAGTTTGGGAAGTTTCCACATAGGAAGTAATACTAGTCAGAAAACAGAGAAAGAGCAGAGAGGAACAGGCTTCCTTCTGGCCCCGGGGGCTTATACTTAAACATAAATGTTAGCTCAGCGGTAGCTGGCTGTGTGTTACCTGCTTTTAACTTGCCTTTATGGTTCAGCCTGTGTTTCCCTGGTGTGAATTCTGGTACCATGTGTTACTGTGTGACCTTGTACAAGTCACTCAACCTCTCTGAACCTCAGTTCTTCAACTGTAAAATGGGATAACACCCTTGCATAAGGTTATAGAGAAGATAAGATATAACATGTGATGATTTTCCACCCTGTATTAAGTTAAAACAGAAGTTGCCCTTTTCACATTCTTGAGTAAATGGCCTCAGAGTAAGTTGGAGAGATGGAGAAAAATGGAGCTGTGGATATCACATTGCTGTCCTTTCTCTGATTGAAAAGTTGTTTTCGGCCCTGGAGACTGCTAAATCATCGCAAATGTGCAGGTACATTGGAATTATCTGGAAAGTCTTAAAGACTATTCATACTCATGCTCCACTTCCAAGGATTTCTATTTAGTTGGTCTAGGGTGAGGACTGGGCATCAAGAGCTTAAAACTCCCCAGGTGGTTCTATCGTGCAGCCAGGCTGAGCACCAGGGCTGCAAAGCCCCAGGTGGCCATGGCTCTTCACAGCCAGTGGGGAGAGCTGGGAGGGGTATCTTCTCCTTTGTTCCCTCCCTCCTGCCCCAGTGGCCATGTTGGGCAGGGGGTCAGAGGCAAGGGCAGGGGAAGGAGAATCGCCTTGGCTGTAGCTTTGTTGTCAAGTAGAAGATGGTGTTGCAATCCACGCAGGGTCCACTCAGTTCCCTGCAAAGCCTCTGCCCTGCCAGGCAGTGATTCACCCCAAGATGACTCCCACACCCCTTGTTGGCTCCGATAGCCTGGCCTGCAAAAGAGGGAGGAGGCAGCTGACAGGGCATTAGTAAACCTGAGAGGGTAGACATGGCTTTCGGGATGAGGGACGAGAACAGGAACAGGCAGGCCTTGAGACCCAGGACTGGAACTCAGCTCCAGTCCCCCCACAGAAGAGGGAAGACAACCCAGTGTGGGCAGTGTGAGTGGTGCTTATGGGGCCTGGCTGGCCAAGTCATGAAGGGATGCCACAAACACCAAGCTTTCAGCCACGGTGGCCGCAGCAGAGGCAATGCCTCCTCTGGACCTCCACTCTGGATCATTATTCCTCAATGGGGTTGCAGTGTAGACATGGCTGAGTACATATAACCCATTTTATGGGTTATATGGTACATATAACACCATAGCACGTGTAGGAGGGTCTTGCTCTTCAGTACAAACCCAGCTGGCCTTGGGGGTTAGATTAGACATGGTTAACCTACACCTTGTCTTTTATAATTCCTGGGGTGAGGGCTATCAATATTATTTACTCCGGTGCCACTCACAGTGTGGTCTTCAGGCCTGCAGCCTCAGAAATGCAGACCCCTCAGGCCCTGCTTGAACCTACCAGATGAAATCTCCATTTTAACAGGATCCCTAGGTGATTTTCATTCCTGTCAAAGTTTGAGAGCTATTATGAGGCCGGTGGTTCATGGCCCCGACTCACATTAAAACCAAAGAATCGTCGTGCCAAGGCTCCAGTCTGCACTGAGTAAATGTGATTCCCAGGAACTCACTCTAAGTGATTCTAATGTGCAGCCAGGCTGAGGACCACTTCCTAGGCCATTTTAGGTGACTAAGAGCAGAGATGCTCAAGTCAGTTAGGGTGATGGAGTTATACAAGTTTATATAGGTATAAGGAACAGGGACCTGTCCAGGCAAGGCTGAGGGAGGGGGACAGGAGGGACACCCACGGTCCATAGTTCCTTTGGGGACTTGGCCTTCCTGACATCCTTCAGCAGGGCCCAAGCACCTGGCCGAGTATTCCTTGCATCTGTCAGCTCACCTCCTATTGTCTTGTCACTAACAACCACTGCCCTCTACTCTAGCTGTGGTCCAGGAACCAACAGCATCAGCATTACCTGGGAGCTCACCAGAAATGCAGAATCTCGGCCCCATCCTAGACCTACTTGATGTGAGTCTGCATTTAACAAGGTCCAGGGTGGTTTAAGGGCATATGGACACTGGAGAGACACCGAGCTACCTCTTGGCTTCTGCTGCCCCATCTTTGGCTTACTGTCTGTTCTGTGACTTGCTATCAACTGCTCACTTTTTGCATGTCTGAAGATCATACATGTTGAGATGGAGGATCTGGCAGGTTTCTCTGGTCACTAGCCCGGGGAGGCTGTCCGTGTCAGGTGGAACGAGGGCTCCAGGATGCTTCACAGACCTCTGGTCAGTGTTCAGACCAGTGACTCCCAGTCTGTACCTGTCTCTGATTCAGAGGTAGGGGTCAGGATGAGAGCAAGCCAAGGATCCCCTGAACTCCTCAGAAGTGAGCTGTGGGACTTTGGAGAATCCGCACAAAGAGAAGGGGATGGCACGTACGATGTGACCTGTGTCCACTGATGGAGAATGATGGGCTGGCAGCGTCAGCCTCCACTGCAGACTCCGGCTCTTTCCTCCCATCTCTCTTACCCGTACGCTCCTTCATCCATTCCTCCAAGGGCTCAGCTCCAGGCTGTGTTCCACCCCTAGCAGCCTCAGGCCTGGCCTAGAAGTTGGTATGGTGTTTCCAAGATAACTGCCATAAACGACAAGCAAACTGGGATTTTCTTATAATATAGGAACTTGGTTCTATGGGATTACTCCCCTGTTAATCTTGACAACCAGCTTATATACTCCCTGAGAACAAAATCAGCATCTTCCTTCCATCAGTGAACAAATATTTATTTGATAATTATCAGAAGTAAGAAGGTAAGCAAGACCCAGCCCCAACCCCAAGAAACTTGGGGTACACTGGGGAATGCAGACAAGCAACTGGGCTGGTACATCAGTGAGATCAGGGCTGAGATAGGGAAGCCTGCCCAGGTGGGGAGCCTCTGCTGATTTGGTAGAAACTGGGAGTCAGTATTCCCAAAACAGCTTTAGGAAACCTAGCAGAAACCTTTCTACTCCGGCCAGGCAAGGGGAGGGAGGGAAGAACATCAGTACACAGCCAGGCCATCTGGTGCAATGCTGTGACTCATTCTCTTCAGAGCCATCATCCAAATGCATTTTTCCAAGTTCACACGGGATCCTGGAGCTATATGAAAAGAGGGTGTGCATGTGTGTGTAAACACAAGACACCAGACTCCTCTGATCTTGGAATGTGAAGATACAAAGCTAGCCTGCAGAACAGCTCTCTTAGGCTAAGATTTTCCCTTTCAATCCAGGCCACACCACTGGGCTGGAGAAAGGTATAAACATCCCTGCGTTGGCTAATTAGGGATTAAACCCAGGTTGATTTGATTCCAAAGCCTTTGGTAGTTCCTGTCCCACTGCTCCCATTCAGAGGATGAACAAAGGAGGTCAGGGGTGGGCTTTTCACATACGAGCGGCACATACAAACCGAGATAGTAAATATTCACTGGATATTTGGTTGAAGCACAGAGAAACTAGCCTCAATATTTAACAGTGAAACCATACATTTCTTCCTGGATCCTCTGCATAAGTCCCTAGTCACTTGGGGCATTGCTTGACAATGTTCAAAAGCCTTTGCCATGTCCTGCCTCACTGGATGGCTCAGCAATGCCGTGAATGTCTTTCCTTCAGTTCCTGGTACATGCCAGCCCCTTCCCACCTCTGGGCCTTAGCAGAGGCTGTGACACCTGCCAGGCATGCCATTCCCCACCTACACTCTCTCTCTGGGCTGTGTCCTACCCACCCTTCAGGTCTTGGCTTTGATTTCACGTCCCTACCTCCTATGGGGTGTAACAGGTTCTCTTTACATGGAAATTTTAAGAGATTCCAAAGGAGAGCCATATTATGGGAGCAGCACCAGCCAGGGCATGGGGAGTGAGTGAGAGGGTGTAGAGTGTTTCTTGTGGCCTTCTCTTCCCCATGGCTCCCTGGTTCTCTTCCCTGCAGGTGTCTGCAGCAGGCTTCTGAGGACAGCCTGCCCACAGCCAGCATCATCCTCTGTTTCCATGATGAGGTCTGGTCCACCCTCCTGAGGACTGTGCACAGCATCCTCGACACAGCGCCCAGGGCCTTCCTGAAGGAGATTATCCTCGTGGATGACCTCAGCCAGCAAGGTAGCCCAGCTTTCCTCCAGGCTCACCTGGGTGAGCCTGACCCCCTGGAGGGTGGAGTTTCCGAAGCAAAAGATTGAAATTGGGAACTATTTTAGGCAAGATTCCCCAAGTACAGACCTCCAGATGAGGATTCATGAGCAAGTAACTTATGAACGAGGAGCCACTGGTGGAACCAGTGAGGCAGCGGTGGCCGAGTCCTGCAGGGGAAACAGCCATGGGGAAGGTTCAAGGGGCATGGCCTCAGCCTGATCCCATGGGAATCTCTCTTCCAGGCCCCACCCAGTCCAACAGTCCTCTCCCAGACACTGAAGAATCACACGAGGCAGTCCTGTTGTGAGGCTCACACTTCACAGACACGCGCATATGTGTATTGGTCCTTAACTCACCATGGCTTAGACCGACCCACTCACTTTCCAGAGGAGGAAGCTGGGGCCCAAGGAAGAGAGGAGACTGCAGTGGAGTCAGCCAAGGGCAGCAGAGGCAGGCCCAGAGGCCAGACTTGCAGAAGCTGCCTGTCTGCTTCCTCTCACAGGAAGCTTGCTACTAGGGACAGCCCTAAAAGAAGAAGATGGAGGCAGAGAAGCCCCGACCTGACTTCTTGTTCAGTGGTTCTCAAACTTGAGCGTGCATCAGAATCACCTGGTGGGATTTTAAACATATGGACTGCAGGGTCCACCCCCAGAGTTTCTGAAGATGGAGTGGGGCTGAATAATTTGCATTTCTAACAGGATCCCAGGTGACGCTGGTGCTGCTGTTTTCTGTGGACCATACTTTGAGAGCCTCTGCTCTAGTCTTTGGCATGGGTCTGAGGCCTACATTTCTGGCGCAACTAAATGACCTGCTTGCGCCAGACCTTCTGGCCTTGTGGGAAGATCAGAATGCTCCAAGAGAAGCCAAACATTTGCATTTTGCTCAGGGGAAGATTGAGAAGGGCTATGGTGGGGAGGTGCCTCTTAGTTCTTTCTAAGGCCCTCACTCCAGGGATGGGCCCAGCCTGGCCATAGCAGTAAGTCAGATTGGCCAGAGGCTCTGGGAACACCTGGGGTTCCTGGTTGCCGCTGGTTGCATATGAGGCAGAACTAATGGACAGGATGGACAGGTTCAGGACAGGGCTGGGTTGACTGGTAAAGTGCCCAGAATCTCTCCAAACCCTCAACCGGGGCAGGGTCTGCCCAAGAGCACACCTGTGGTCCAGTGCTCGCCATTTGATGAGCTGTGTTATGTCTGTGCCCCTCAGGAGTGTGAAAAGTGGAGAGGCTGGGCCCCAGGGAATGGGCTACCTCAGAGATGGCAGCCCCACCGGAGTGAGCTAAGCAATTAAGCTGCTCCCTCCTGGCCAACTCCCCCTCTGCACCCACCACTGGGCTGGCTCTCCATCTAGTGGCCCCATGTTTCCTGTCCACATTGGGGTGCAGGGCTTTTCCACAACCAAGGGCAGCGCTGATTCCATTGCTGCAGGTTCCTCTCCCGCCAAGATCTAGATCCCAGACAAGCGCTGTTTTCATTTCATCCTCTTGGCCACCCAGAGAGGCAGGTCTCATCAACCCTTCTCTACCTATAAGGAAAACTGAGACACAAAAAGGTGCTGCGGGTTGCCCAGAGCCACCCTGATGGCTTGCCAAGCTGGTGGTCATGACAGCGTAGTGTCATGTGATAGTATTCATCTGGGCAGTAATGCCCACACTGAATCATTAAATCAGAAAATGCTTGTGATGCCCAGCCCACGATGACCCTTTACAAGTGGAAATCATTATTACTGCTGCTTTCTGGAAGGAAGGAGTTGAGGATCATACCAGCTTTTCCCAAGCCCTGTACCACTCAGACCTGCTTCAAAACCCTCTGCGAATGCCAAGCCACCACTGCAGTCTGGAAGTTCTTCCCTAATCTCTTCTGAAGCTCTCTTGCTAGAAGTCTGTCCTAAATAATACTAACCAGGGTTAGAAGTATGGCTAAAGAGACCAGCAGTCAGCCCAAGAAGGGCTTCAGAAATGAGTGTTTGGTGGGAATATCAGTGAAGGACTGTATTTGGCTGCATAGAACAGAAACCTGCTGCAGTGACTTTCACCAGTGAATAGGGATTTATTTTTCTTTACAGTATAGAAAGCTCATAGGGTGCAATGTGGGATTGGTGTGGCAGCACTGTAATGCCATTGGGCACCGCCTTCATCTGCTTTCCACTTCACCATGCTTACAGAGTGGTTTTGGCTTCATAATCACAACAGTGCTGCTCTGTCTCTGGACATCACATACACATTTCAGGTAGGAAAAAGATGAAGAAGAGATAGGCAGAGACCAATCCAGTTTGTCCTCTTAGGAAAAATAAATAGTAAAACAATAGCTTTCCCAGAATTCTCTCATCCAGTTTATTTCTGCCAGAGCTGCTGCCAGCGGTGAGAGCAGGTCTTGGGAGATAACTGCTTTTGGTGCCCTGAGCAGCATCCAAGTCCTGTCAGTGCAGTGGAAGGGGAGAATGAATGGTGAGGAAGATGCTATGTTCAGCAGTGTTAAATCCAGTGAAGTCACCGAGGGGTTGGTTTTCAGACATGCAAGTTCAGAAATTTTAATTGCTTGACTAACAGAGGTTCCTCTCTAGGGAGTGGACCAGGACTGACAATCTTAGCAGAAAAATAATTATAAAGTAACAAGTCAGCACAGCATTTTACCACTGAGATTGCAAGAGCCAAGTGACTGGGAATCCTTTCCTCCACTGCTGAGGACATTGTTCCCCTGCAGAAGGAGTGTAGGAAGTCTCCTGAGGGCTCTCAGGCGGGGCGGCCTTAACCTTCTCCAGCCTCCCCAGAGATCCAGCTACCAAAGCAGCTGGGCTGTTTGTATCCACAGTTAAGGCTACCTCTGGGCTGGGGAACTGGGGAGAAATTCTTGCATTTTGGCTCAGTTCTGTTCAATGCACATATACTGAGTACCTACTGTGAGCCAGGCCCTGCGCTAAGGGTTGGAGCAGAAGAGATGCATTAGGTACAACTGCTGCCCTTGGGGAGATCTTAGTCCAGTGGGCTGGAGATACCGATTTCCCAGAATTCATGGAGAACACAGCTTCTCTGTGAACACATTATTCCTTCCATTTCCACTGGCTTGTTCCTCTTGGCATGTGAGTGTGTACACAGACGTGCACACACACACACACACTCACACAATCAAGTTATTCTTATCTTGAACACCACCTAACAAGCTTCTCTCATCCTTTCCATCACCTTCTTCTTAGGTCTTTCTCTCTTCCTTCCCCTGTAGAATCAGCCTTCCCGAAACACTGTCAGGACTCCTGCTCTCAGGTTTTCATGTCCCTTTTTCTCTCCTGGACCTGCTGCATTGCAGACTCTCAAATCAACTGCAGTGAGACCTGTCTGATCAGTACCACCAACCTCCTACCAGCTGCCAAATGTAATGGGCCCTTTTGCCTTTGACTTCCTTGACCACTCACTCTCTTAGGTCGGTTTCCTGAAAGCAGGACCTGAGATGGAGATTCATGTGCATGTCATTTTTTTGAGGGTGTACTCTCAGGGGAAACCTGAAGGGGAATGGGTGATGCAGAAGAGACAGTGGGAAGAGCTGAACAAAGATGTGATTCCACGTGAAGTCCAGTCATAGACTTATCCCATGGGGAACTCTGGGGCACAGACTGCACTGTGGAGTCAGTCTTGTTTTTTACCCTGCAATGGTCAGTCATTGACCATGAGCACCTGGGGCCGGGGGCAGCATCCTGCATGACTCTCTGGCATCTGCAGCAGAGACCATTTTAGTACCCCAAGGCAAGTCTCCAGGGAAGGGTTCAGATTTCATTTATCACCCACAGCAGCTGGGGACATGCAAATCAAACCAAATCAGTTAAGGGGAGCTCAGGGAATCGGAGTAGGACACGGTATTAGTCTGTTCTCACACTGCTATAAAGAACTACCCGAGACTAGGTGATTTATAAGAAGAGAGGTTTAATTGACTCATAGTTCTACATGGCTGGGGAGGCCTCAGGAAACTTGCAGTCATGGTAGAAGGGGAAGCATGTCTTACATGGCAGCAAGAGAGAGAAAGAGTTAGAGAGAGAAGGAAGAACTGTCAAACACTTAACCTAATCATCAGATCCCATGAGAACTCACTATCATGAGAACAGCATGAAGGAAACTGCCCCCATTATCCAATCCCCTCCCACTAGGTCCCTCCTTAGACACGTGGGAATTATGGGGATTACAATTCAAGATGGGATTTTAGTGGGGACACAGAACCAAACTGTATCAGATACAAACAATATCTACTACATTCTTCCTGCTGCATTTGGAGAACGTTTGTAAGTTCTCCCCTTTCCTGGTTTTCTGACACTATTCCTCTAGTTTTTACTGGAGAGAATTATGGCCCATCCCAACCTAAGGAAGCATCTTACATCTTAGCAACAACCACACCGTAATAATGTTTTTGATTCTTAGGACCTTTGTGCTCACCACAGCTTCCAAGAGAGAGTTGCAGACAGTTATCTTAGTCACAATCTCATTGGTTGTGGTATTTGTCATTCGATTGACTGCAACCCTGTTGGTTCCAGGACAACTCAAGTCTGCTCTCAGCGAATACGTGGCCAGGCTGGAGGGGGTGAAGTTACTCAGGAGCAACAAGAGGCTGGGCGCCATCAGGGCCCAGATGCTTGGGGCCACCAGGGCCACGGGGGATGTGCTGGTCTTCATGGATGCCCACTGCGAGTGCCACCCAGGATGGCTGGAGCCCCTCCTCAGCAGAATAGCTGGTGACAGGTAACTTATCCCCTGGGCTTGCAAAGCAAGACATGGGACTGGGAGAAATAGTCTACAGCATCAGCCACTCACAGAACAACCCTCCCATTGATTTCTGAGTCCCCATTAGAAAGTGATCTATTCCTCTCGGGTTTCAGATGTTTCAGCCTTTTAAGAATAGGGAGTTAGAGTTGGAAAGGGGGTTAGAGGTGTTTCAGTCCATCTACCTCGTTTTATAGGTAAAGAAACTGAGGCCTAGAGAACAGCTTCTATAAGGTTGCAAATACTTAAAATTGTATTAAATGGTATGATTAGGTAAGTAACACCTTACCATGGCTATCACTGGCTTTTGGTGAAAATTCGGCAATTTTAATCAAACTTGTAAAATAACCTGGGGAAAAAGTCTCTGAACAACACTAGGCCATAGATGACTCACCCGTCAAAAGAAAACGTTAGGTTCTGTGATCACTAAACAGTATTCTTTGTTTCTCCAGCTTATACAAGGGGTCCCTAATTTTCTACCTAAGGCCAGTCCTTAGAAATGTGAAATTGGAGAGGACTGCATTACATTACCCAGTAGACAAGCATCTTAACGTTTTTCTTGACCATTTCTCTGCTCTCCTTCCCCCATCTGACTGTCAATCTCTTTCACACTTCCTGGCTCAAGACAAACAGTTCCTAAACGTGTCTGGTCAGCTGTTACTCTCAATGTGAATTTCCTAGCCAGGAAAACTGAAATCTGGTGGCTGGCCCACCTTGGACCACCTCAGGCATACCCCTTGGAGCTCATGTAGGCGTGTAGCAGAGTAGAACCACAATCAATAATTGTTTGATGGTGCTGAGCCAGATAGGACCAATGCTAGAATGAAGCCTACGACTTCTATCCTTTGCTGCTACCCATGTTAAATGTTTATTATCTCACTTGAAGTTAGGGATGACCAAATATAAGGAAAAATTCCTGGACCACATTGGAATGAATCCTGGAGACATAGGAGTTACCATCCTGCCAAATGGACAGGATGGTAACAGTTTCAAATGACAGAAAGTAAATTGTTAATAGTTCAGCATTCCATTTTAACAAAGAAGAACAATCAGAACTCTAGTGAGATCAAGACAGATTAATGTTGCCCAGTTTCATGAGACAGATTGCCTCTTGACTCACATAAGAAAAGAAGACATCCATAAATTCAGCAGTAGGACAAGAATTAGGACACGAAAATGCACAAGCTGCCCGGGCCTGGTGGCTCATGCCTATAATCCCAGCACTTTGGGAGGCTGAGGCAGGTGGATCACCTGAGGTCAGGAGTTTGACACCAGCCTGCCCAACATGGTGAAACCCCGTCTCTACTAAAAATACAAAAATTAGCTGGGCTTGGTGGTATGTGTCTGTCATCTCAGCTACTCGGGAGGCTGAGGTAGAAGAATTGCTCGAACCTGGGATGCAGAGGTTACAGTGAGCTGTGATCACACCACTGTACTCTAGCCTGGTGACAGAGTGAGACTCTGTCAAAGAAGAGAGAGAGAAAGAGAGAGAGAGAGAGAGAGAGAGAGAGAGAGAGAGAGAGAGAGAGAGAGAGAGAGAGAGAGAGAGAGAAATAAAAATAAAAGAAAATGCACAAGCCCTCCAAAGCTACCATTTTTTATTCTGTTCCATGCAAGAACCAACTTGAAATCACGATGATATGTATCATTGGAGTAGTACTCTGAAGTCAATCTCACCTATTCGCCATGTAATTCCCATCCTGGTATCACAGACAGGTGGCTCTCAGAGGGACCATGAAGAGCATCTTGTCCTACCTCACAATTTCACTGTCGAGAATCCTGAGTTCCAGGAAAGCAAAAAAAGACCCCTCAGGGTCAAGCAGACACTTGGCAGCTGGGCTGTTTTCTATGCTTCTTTTATGCAGACATTTAGAAATGCAGAAATTAATATTATTCAACCTTATGTATGTATAACCCTCGCAGAGTTCTCTCATATACCTTCTTTAATGACCACTGTGAGAAGCCTCAGGCAGGTATTTTAGCTTCTGTTTTATAGGGGAGAAATGGAGGCTCAGAAATGTGACATGATGTATAAGGCAGTGAATATGTAGCTAAGTCAGGTTTTCCGACTCTGGGTCCGGTGCTCTTTTTATTGTGTATGCTTTCTTTTTAAGAGTTGGAGAAGCTGGTCAGGGAGAAACATTAGTCATCCCTAAACCCACTTCTGGTTGTGAGACACGTGTTATCCACTGCTGTGGGTCCCTTGTATCTGCTTCTCACATGAGGGCCCCATTTTGCAGATCTAGGTGAAGGGAGAAAAACATGGCAGTACCTCGGTGTCCTCAGCTAGAAAGAAAATGGGGCTCCCTGGGAATCCCAATTTCTTGTGCCCTTCCCCTCTCATCTTTTCCTTGTCTGCCTGTCTGCCTCTCCTACGGTCTCTCTCTCTCTCTCTCTCACACACACACACACACACACACACACACACACTGGGCCTTTGATCCTGGTGTGTTACTGGCTTGCCTTCCTCTTTGGCTTCCATCTCTTCCATGTGACATGAACACATTTTCATCATCTCCACACCTCATTCATGGCTTCTTGTCTGCTCTGTTTTCTCTGGGCCCCAGTGTGCAGCTTGTAAGTCTTGGCAGGTGAGGATCTGGAAGAAAAGCCGCCTCTCTGGTATCTGGGACCCACTCTCTCCACTCCACACGGCGATGCTCTGTGAGCTGTCACTGGGAGAGCAGCCCCATTCAGTGTGTGTTTTACCCTACCAGGGACTTCGCCACATGCCTCATGCAAAGCAAAGCAAAGCTGCGGAAACCATTTGGTGCAGCTCCTCACATAGAGCGGGAAGGGGGCCCAGCTGTCTCCGAGGCTTGTGTCAGGAGACATTCTGTCACCAGATGAGGACACAGTGCCCAAAAGACAGGAAGGGGTCTTTAAGAGCTCTTATAAAAAAGGTGGGGTGAGAGTGGCGAATGAAGTCAATTAGCCATAAATTAGCTATTTCAAAGAGTCACAGCCTCCTCCACACCCTGGCCAAGGAATTCAGAGCCTGCTGACCAGCCTTTCTTCCCTGTCCCTGCCTAGCAGATTCACTAGCCATGTGGCAACTTTATTTGAATTGGTAGAAATCCCATCCTCATGACTATCCTCATGACTCCCATTCCTCAGAAAATGGGTCATAACATACGATTTTATTGGAATAAAACATCATAATGCCAACTGTCAGCAACTTGTCAAAATAAAAATACAAATTTATAGTAACGATGATATTAGAGGTGTTCTCTAGGGTTGCACAGTGCACAACTCCTATAACTGTTCATAGCAACCCTACACAGAGTCTCCCTATGGGAGGGCAGTGATATTAGGGCAGTCTTCGGAGGTGCCTGATTGATGGCCAGTTTCTACACAAAGGACGGACGATGGGAATCAAGACCAGCTGTTGTATCCAGCTCCCAGCTGCCTTGTGCCGACTGACAGCTCTCATACAAAAGCCAAGCAGTGGAAGCCATACCCCTGGAAGGATGAAGGTTTCTAAGGGGAAAGGGACAGTCTTAAAAGGGGCTGAAAGATGATATCATCTCAAGAAGCTGGCCAAGTTATCTCTTACTTGAAGATGGGTCTGGTCCCTATCTGCAAGACATCCATTCCTTCAGGCTCAGCCAGGGCTGCTGTGGGGAGAAGCAATGTGGGGTAGGAAGCAGAACACCTGCCCTTTGCGGGGTTAAATGATGGAAAACAGTGTGAGAACCCCCTGTTTGTGCCTGTGTGTCTGTATGTGTGTGTAAGCATGTGAGAGTCTGAGTGTGGGGGAGAGAGAAGAGGGAGAGAGCATGTGTGTGTGCATGCATGTGTGTGTGTGTGTGCATGCATGTGTGCGTGTGTGCATGCATGTGTGCGTGTGTGCGTGCACACATGTGTCAATGTGCAGCAGGTGGTCAGGATGCCTCCTGGCCCTCCAGAGGGAGCAGCCTTCTTTGGCTCAGATACCCCAAGGAAACTCTCCAGCTGCCATCATACTTCATACCCCTCAGCATGACATGTCCTCATATCTGCCCCTGGAAGAGCTGGTGCCAGTCCTACGGTCGCACCTGAGCAGTAAGTGCTCTGGAAAGGGAGAATTCAGAGCGTTCTGCTTCTGGTATAAGAGACTTACCACAAACACCAAGAATGCGCATGAACTTTCAAAATGGCTCATGCACCATGGACCTCTAGGAACATCCAGGCTCAAGAGAATTAACGAGGAATGAGATAAATGAAGGCTTATTCTTTATTGCGGCAAAAGATTATGGGAAGGTTGAAACTACAGTTAGCTCTTGAATATCTGGACAGTGATGTATTCGTTGATCTCACGTATTTCAGTGAACCAGTCTTTGCTGGCAGCTTGACGCCATCTGTTTGCCTTCTGAAACACAAGCACTTGATCTCCTGGGACTTAGGCTCAACATAGGATCAACCTGGTACCTGCCTGAGGGTTAGAACTCAATTCACAGGTGAGAGAATGAGGAAGTAAGCAGACACTTCTAGCTCCTTCCAAGTCAAACGAGGTAGCCTCGCTATTTTGCTTGAATTCTCAGAACACCAGACACATCTGTAGGTATAAAAACACAAAGCTAAATGAAGACTGTCGGTTTTTTGTTTTAATTAATCACCCTTTTTGAGTCACTAGACTACAGTTACTAATTTAGCCCTGCTTAGGCAGCCAGCCTCTATGGTCCATGGGAATAAAGACCAAAATAGAAAACACCCCTCACTTCATTCATTGACATTTTATTCTTTATCTCTACCCAAAATGTACTCAGAGAGGCTCATGATTAATCACTGTTATATGCAGTTAAAATAGAGGAAAAAGATTTCAGAAAGGAAAAGAGGCTATTGGGAATCAGGGGTAATACAGTTATTAGAAGTGAGTTTTACATGTGACTCTGAGCTTCTAGAAAGACAAAACAAAAAGAGAAATATAATGAATTTTAGAATTCTCATTTTCTTTTTTTTTTTTTTAGATGGGGAGTTTCGTTCTTGTTACCCAGGCTGGAGTGCAATGGTGCGATCTCGGCTCACCGCAGCATCCGCCTCCTGGGTTCAGGCAATACTCCTGCCTCAGCCTCCTGAGTAGCTGGGATAAAGTAATGTGCTCCTTTGTTAAGAAGTACACAGTACAGGCCGAGTGCAGTGGCTCATACCTGTAATCCCAGAACTTTGGCAGGTCGAGGCTGGTGGATCACTTTGAGCTCAGGAGTTTGAGACCAGCCTCAGCAACATGGAGAATCCTGTTTCTGAAAACACACACACACACACACACACACACACACACACACACACACTAGCTGGGCATGGTGGCTCATGCCTATAATCCCAGCTACTCGGGGGGCTAAGGCTGAAGAATCACTTGGGCCTGGGAAACGAAAGTTGCAGTGAGCCCAGACTGCACCACTGCATTCCAGTCTGGGCAACAGAGTGAGATCTTTAAAAGAAAGAAAATGAAGAAGAAGAAATACACAGCACAGAGATCTAGGGTGAATTGGTTGTGGGAATGCTTGAATGCAAGCCCCTTTCTTGTCTTATGGTTGCTGAAGATGGCACAAATTTCATGGGTTTCTTCTGAATTCAGCCACACAATTCCTTGGCTTTTGATTCGAAAATTCTGCAAAATGCTTTGCCAATAGCCAAATTTATCCATCTGCCTGATTCATTACACAGTAAGTGGAGACTCTGGAGGGAGCTCTAGGTGCCCTCATTTCCTCCCCAGTCTAGGTTCTCAGTTTTCTTAGGTCAATACAGGGTACCCCCCAAAATAGGGGAGACCAGAGGAATTATGTTCCCCTTGCCCTCCAGCAGAAACAATGTAAAAGCGGCAGGAAAAGCCTAGTAAGATCCTTGCTCTAAATATAGACCCCACAACTCCTTACACCTATGTCAGTTACCTAAAGCCACAGATGAAAGCAGATAGGAAATGGTGTGACCACCCTGGCTGTCTCCTACATGATGGAACTGAGATGGAATTTGATGGTAGTGGAAACACAATGTGGCTGGTATCTCTCCTCCCAGGAATCTCACTTCTCTTAGTGTGATAGCTTTCAGCCACCCTTAAGTTCATTCCTGATCCATTGCATGGCACAGATTTGAGACATAATTATGACAGGCCTAAGTGGGGGGAGAAAATGTGATTGAGATATTGGCTTGGTGGATAGCAGCTCCTGGTACACCTGGGTGATTACCTACTTAGTTTAAAATTGTATGACCCATGTCAGTTTCCCACATCACGCTGCAGTCATATCTCCAGGCTGTCCAAAACAATTGGGCTAAAAACCAGTCACCAACTGTAGCAGGAAATAAGCAAGTAAACCAAGATTTAAGACTTTGTGTTGCTTATAGATACCACATGTTCATATGCACGTATATTGACAGTCAGGATACTTCTAGGGCTTGGAAATCTTGATTTCTCAAGGTATTCAAGTATTATGATACAAGGAGAAAGAAGAAATAGACCTGAGGGTGGGGGCCCATAAACTCTCTGACCTCGTGCACAATAATTTTTACATAGGCATATGAGATTTCACTCCGGAGTGGCCCATAATTTTCCCAAGTCTCAAAGGGATCAAGGACCCCAAAAGAAGTTAAGAGCCACAGTCCTAGAGCATTGCAGCTGAGAAAGGCCTTTGTGAGAAGTAGTTCAACCTCCCATTCTACAAATGAGGAAACTGAGGCCCCGAGAGGTATAAGAGGTATCTCAAGATTACATAGTTCATTAGCAGCAGAGCTGAGTCTAGGACCCCTCTCTCTATCTCTCAGTGCTGTCAAGAAAGGTTTTTGAAGAAAGTGATGGACCCCAATTCCTTATGGAAAAACATTTTGTAGAACAGTGCTGTACAATATAAATATAACACGAGCCACACATGTAGTTTAACCATTTCTAATAGTCACATTACAATAAAAAGAAACAGATAAAGTTAATTTTAATAATATATTTTAGTAAACCCAATATATCCAAACTATTATCATTTCAACATGTATTCAATATAAAAATTATTGAGCTTTTTGCATCCTTTCTTCCATACTAAGTATTCTTGATCCAGGGTGTACGTTACACTTACTCCACATCTGATTTGGATAAACCCCATTTTAGGCATGGATGTCTGGTGGCCGCCATATTGGGCAGCCCATGTACAGTCTGTGTTTTCAGCCTGAGCAAGTGAATGCTTTGTGTCCCTTGTTTGATTCCACAATTCCTTGCAGGAGCCGGGTGGTGTCTCCGGTGATAGATGTGATTGACTGGAAGACTTTCCAGTATTACCCCTCGAAGGACCTGCAGCGTGGGGTGTTGGACTGGAAGCTGGATTTCTACTGGGAGCCTTTGCCGGAGCATGTGAGGAAGGCCCTCCAGTCCCCCATAAGCCCCATCAGGTGAGGCCCCATTTCACACCTGCTTTGCCTTTGCCTCCTCAGGATGGAGTCTGCAGCCTGACTGCCTGGATTCTAATGCTGCCTCCACAGCATCCTAGTAAATCACTTAATTTATGCCACAGTTTCCTTATCAGTAAATTGAGAGCAATCATAGTATTTACCTTAGAGGATTGTTATGAAGGCTGAATATGCGAAAAGCGCTTAGAGATGCCAACCACCCAGATGTAGGCGTTGCCACCATTATATTGTCGTATTCATAAAGTTCTGCCAGGCTTTTCCAGGTAGCATCAGTTAATGCCCCACTGTGGCAACCTGAGATGGAATCTTGGCCCAGCTCTCTCATCAGGTGCAGTGTGATTCCTCAGGTCCTGTCTTTAGGAAGAATTCAGCCAGATGAATGCTAAGAACCATAGGTCTCAAGTATATCCAGTTGTGTGGGTCACTTCTCACATACCTGGTTTTTGGATGACTCTTCTATTTAAGTAGTTGTACTAAATATCTTATGCATAACAAGCCACTCAAACTTGGTGTGAACAACAGCCATTTTATTAAGCTCATGAGTTCTGTGGGGCGTGAATTTGGAAAAGACACAGTAGGGTTGGTTTTCTGCCTCCATGGTTTCTGGGGTACATAAGGATTTGGAAGGTTTCCCAACACTATGAAGTTAATGAGAGGTGGATCCAGAATTAAAACTCAGACAGCCAGGCCCTGACACCACTGGCTTCACTGCTATGCTATATGTTAAATGCAAGGCCGTGGTTCATTATTCACAATGGCGAAATCCAAAAAGCTCTAAAAACCAAGCATTTGTTTAATAATTCACTAGGCAGCAGGCCAAGTGCAGTGACTCACTCCTGTAATTCTGGCACTTTGGGAGGCTGAGGCAGGTGGATCACTTGAGGCCAGGAGTTTGAGACCAACCTGGCCATCATGGTGAAACCCTGTCTTTACTAAATATACAAAAAAAAAAAAAACCAAATATCTGGGCATGGTGGCACACTCCTGTAGTCCCAGCTACTTGGGAGCCTGAGGCATGAGAATCACTGGAACCCAAGAGGTGAAAGTTGCAGTAGACTGAGATGGCACCACTGCACTCTAGCCTGGGCAACAGAGCAAGATTCTGTCTCAAAAAAACAAAAAGTCATTAGGCAGCAAAAGCTGCCCTGAACTGATATGGGTGTCGCATCGGCCTTATTTATCCCACTTACTGCTTACTGTGAAAATATGTGTATGTTTCACCAAAGAAATACTAGTATGCCTAACTAAAGAGTGGCCCACACCCCACTAGGACTGATGTGCTTCCCTTTTTAAAGTCCAAAATATTCTGCATTAAAAAAACACACTGGTCCCACAGGTGTCAGAAAAGAAATGCTGAACTTGTAACATCAAAATCCAGTGAACACTTAAAAAGTGTGGCACGCACAGAGCTACGCATTTTACATGACTCGCCTTTTTCATTCCCTCAAAACACAATTAAGAAGCACTATTTTATCTTCAATTAGAGGTGAGGAGCTGAGCTCAAAGACACCTGTCCCACCTAAGATCTTACAAATTGGGAGTGGCGGAGTTGGAAATTATACTGAATAATCATTATAATATCAGTTTTTAGTATTCTGGTATAATGTCAAATTTTTATAATCTAAAGGTCAGTAGCTTTGTTAATGTATTACCATTTTTTTTGGCAATTAAGAAAAATCTAAACTCTTAGTCATTTAGACTTCAAAAAATACCCAGAATTTGGTTGCATTAAAATTTCTTCCTTCTAGATGAAGAGACCCTTTTCCAAAAACCTCTGACTACATCTTTCTCTGTTTAAAATCCCTCTGAGGGATATTATGATCTTAATTTTCTTATTAAGGGTTTCTAGCTTCCTGTGTTTATAAAGCATATATTATTCCCCCGGGCAGTGGGGACTTACCTACTTCCAGGGTTCCTGGTGGATTCATCATAGAATTGGGAAGAGGATGGATGGTTATTAGGAAAACAGAAGAGGGTGAGAAGAGAAAGGAGGAAAGAGTCTGACCATGTTGCTGTGTCAGGCCTGGTGCTGCCTCTCTTAGGGTACTTTATTTTAACCAAGACCTTCTTCCAAACATCTTTCCAGAGGGACTCAAGCCAGAGGGCAGGGGAGCCTCAGGTGTGGTCCCTGGGCCCTCTCTAGGAGCAGTACCTGAGGACAGAGTATAAAAGGCCCAGGCAAGCATAGTTCTCTTTTCATCAAATACTGGGATCTCTCACATCGTGGCTCTGCTCCAGTCTTGCAATTAAGACTGCTTTCTGCCTGAGCCCAAAGCCTGTTCTTTCAGCCCCTGGAGCTCCGACCTGGGAAGCCCCAGCCCCCAGCCTTGCCTGCTGTGCTCTGGCTTCTGAAATGCAGTGTCCTGCCCGTCTTCTGTGTCCAGGAGCCCTGTGGTGCCTGGAGAGGTGGTGGCCATCGACAGACATTACTTCCAAAACACTGGAGCGTATGACCCTCTCATGTCGCTGCGGGGTGGTGAGAACCTCGAACTGTCTTTCAAGGTATGTCCTGGACCAAGGGAGGACACAGGCGGGATCTCTGGAGTCGTGTGTGTGGTCACAACTCAGAGGCAGGCATTAGAAAGGTCACTGGGAAGGCATGAGGCTGTGGGAAAATTATGAAGTCATTCCTGTGTCGTGCGTCGAACCTCCCATTTCTCACCGTTTCCCATCTCTCTTGTGCTGAAGCTTGGTTTCACTCTCAGCTCCCTCATGAAATTGACCCTCAAAACCTGCTTCCAAGAATGGGGATACTCTCAGTTATTTTAACCCTGTGCAGATTCCAGAGGCTCTCATACATTCTCTGTCCATAGCACTCTTAGATCTTGGTAATTTTTTCACAGCACCCATAGACCAAAACAAACACCCAGAGTTCTGTGTATTGAATAGTTTGGCCCAAGCAATGTAATACTTGTAGTAAGAACTTAGCACCTGTTGGGCACCACACCACTTCTTGAACCCTGGAATCGCCCTCATTTCCCATTCCACATTGGTTTCTAGCACGACATTTGCTTTTTAATCACAGTACCCTCCAAAAACCCAACCCCCCAAAATATTCATCATCAAAAGTGCGGAGATCTAATGCTAAAAGTGTGGATTCCCTCAAGCTTATATTCTGCATTAAGTCCAACAGATGCCACCATGTTTCTCTCAAAAATTGAACACCAGACCCTAGGAATTTGCTGGGGCACCCTGGAACACCTTGGCATACAGTTTTGGAACTCCAGTTTTGGTGTTTCCATTCAGATGTTGCTTATCCTAGGACTGTTTTCGCTTTAACCTTTATTCCCAAATGTGGAATGAAAGGCTTCCTGCTAAATGAACTCCAGCCATTTGCGAGTGGCAGAGCAGAGGGAACTTTCTTAAAATAGTAAAGACTATGTCTCAGGAAAGCTTGCTATGTCTCTGCCACAAACAGCTTCTGGTGCCTTTGTAGCCTACTTCATAAGATTTTAAACATTTCCGGACGATTGGGGACCTCTTTTTCCCCAAAGTGTCCTTTGGGGAGTTGGGGTGTTAGTTCACATGCTACATCTCTCCAAGTGCTGGATCTGCATGTGTTGAAGGGCAGCACATTCAGATAGTTGCATGGGAATGGTCCCTTTGTCCCCATTTTGGGACAACTGCCTCTATTCTCTCCACCTCGTCAATTTCAAATCCAAAAACTCTACTCCACCCTGAGGACCATAATCATCTTCACCGTGTGTGCTCACGATTTCCTGTGCATTTTGCCAGCCCCTCATAGACAAGTCTCCTTATTTCCCCCTGTTCTGAAAGGTGGAATGCAGAGGTGTTTATCTTCTTTCATGGCAGGCCTGGCTCTGTGGTGGTTCTATTGAAATCCTTCCCTGCTCTCGGGTGGGGCACATCTACCGAAATCAGGATGCCCACTCCCTGCTCAACCAGGAGGCCACCCTGAGGAACAAGGTTCGCATTGCTGAGACCTGGTTGGGGTCATTCAAAGAAACCTTCTACAGACATAGCCCAGAGGCCTTCTCCTTGAGCAAGGTAAGGAGAGAGCCAGGTGGGGGTTTCTGTGTTCAGCACAGGGCCATCAGCAGGAGGTGGGCCAGGGAGGGCTCCCTTCTCTCCCTTGCCTGAAGGGGAAAGCAGAAGATTCTGACTTGAGCTTCCCACAAGCTGCACTGTCTCAAGTGGCTTCTCCACCTGGTGAGGCTGTCCTTTGTCTCTCTGGCTTCTCCATGAGACATCACAGCTGGCCTAGGCTGAAGCTCCCTAACATCTATGGGATGTGATCCCTCACCCCAGGGCCAGGGGAGGGGTTGACACAGAAAAGTGATGAGATAGGTCTCCAAGGCCAGGCCTCCTTTTGTCCTGAACAAAGGGCTTAAGGCTGTGAAATGGTCTATGACATGAAACAAATATGAAATATAAAAATAGAGCCCAAAAATCCATAGAAAAATAAAAGTTTTCCACATTTAACTAAATGTCCATGAATAGCGCATTATCAGTCAGTCAGCTGCTGCTCAGCCAGTGCTTCCAGAGTGACCCAAAAATGTTGTTGAACGTGGGAAGTGGGTTCACATGCTTGCCGTGCTGAAAGTGCGGGCTCCACAGGCAAGATTCCCAGGACCTGCAACAGTCCTGGAGCAGCTCCTCCAGCCCCTCAGCAGCCTGCACTGCTGGGGTGTGAGTTAGGTGTGAGTCAGGTGTGAGCCAGGTGTGAGTTAAGTGTGTTAGGTGTGAACTAGGTGTGAGTTAGGTGTAAGTTTGTGTGCCACAGATGAAGTCTAGGCCCTTTAAGTGGAAAGACATGCCTGAGTGCAGGGCCAGCCTGACAGAGAAGCCCAGTAGAACAGCCCCAGTGCCTCCCTTTCTGCCCTGGTCCTCAGGGCTCTGCCTCCTCCCCATTCTACATCCAACCCCTTCCCTAAGTGGGAATAGCCTCTAGGGCCTGGGGTGTGTTGGGGCTCCTTGTACTTCAATGTTCTTTGTTCCTTTAGCTGGGAAAAGTGTTAATAGTACTCAGAGTCCCTGGGCTCAACAGTAATTCCCAAGGTCTAGGCAGGCTAGAGTCTCTCTTGGACCCCATCGGTTAGTCACACTATTACACAGAGCGGCACTGGCTCCTTTCCTGGTACAGGAGAAATGCTACTAACAGCAGCCTCCTTCGTTCCTCCAGGAAGCCACTGGGATTGAAAGGAAAACTCTCACAAAGACCCAGCTCAATGACTAGCTAGCATCTTTGTTCTTCTTTATTCTCCTTCTCCATCTCCATCTGTGGGAAGTGGAAGCATGTGTCCAATTCTAGACACCAGTCTAGAAGCTGTATTGTCTGATGGTTAAGCCCATGGACTCCAAGAACAAGATGGTCTGGGTTTAAGTATTGCTTATATGATCTAGAAAGTTACTTAAACACTCAGTGTTTCTGCGTCCTTATTTGGTAAGCCTTCCTTTTGTTGTCAGGATGAACAAATATGTTAATAAATCCACAGCACTTGGAAGAGTGCCTGGCACTGAGTAAGCCCTGCCTGTGTGTTTGCTATTCAGACCATCATTATCTTCATGGCTACTAATGGTTAACAAAGGTCAACCAAGCACCTGCTCTGTGCCAGGCCCTGGGTGGGTCCTGCAGGGGACACAGAACCATACCCAACACATATCAGGTTCCTGGTGGGGAAGGAGCTCCTCTGGAAGAGATAATGTTTGCAAAGGCGAGAGTGATTCATCCTAGACAGGCTCATGACAGACATCTTTTCAGGGGAGGTCACATCTGAAGAGTGGCTGAATGGGTTCAACTCAGACGTCCAGAGGAGGGGTTGGGGGAAGACTCTGGAGCCGCTGAGGTTCAGGCTAAAGAGTTTAGACTTTATTCAGTTGGTACTGGGGAGCAAGTGGCTTTCTACAGAGTTCTGCAGAGGTCCACAGAGCTTCTCCAGTTTTTTAATCTCTTGGGTTCCTTTTGGCCAAAGCATCTATTTTTCTTTCTTGGGATGTCAATTTAGTATTAGCTTTGCTTTCAGAGGCCATTTTCTTAACATTGGCACAGACTGCATTTATAAAGAACTATTAAGGAAGCGTTAAATATTGCATAATTTCTGATGCACCAGACTAACTTTCCACCAGACAGGCTCATTAGGACATGGCATGTTGGCTGTGGCCAGCCTCATGCAACAGCATGCAAATTATTTACAGAACTCCAGCCTTCTTCCCACATTTGTTGGTGCAATTAGACGTGCTGTGAATATATACTGATATATATATATAGTCTCTGGGGGCAGGGCCCAGGAATCTACATTTTAAACAAGCTCCACGGGCATTAGTCAAGCAGATGCTCAGGGAATCACACTTTGAGAAGTATCTAGAGAGAATTTCAGTACAGCAGACTTACCGCATCTCCAGCTGAGGACTGAAAGGGAGAGAAAGCAGAACCAAACCAAGTGTACTTCACACAGCCTGGTGAACCCGTGTCTTATTGTCAGATTAGAGGATCAATCTAACAGAGTTCCATCAAATGGGAACTCTGACATAGCCGGCTTGCTTCCTTTCCCCATGCCAGGAAAGGGTTCTGTTTTTGTCTGTGTTCATTCCAACCCACTCTTGTCACTGCTCTCTTCCCTAAAAGTATCCAAGATTTGGTACTAAACTTTTGGGTATGGTTCTTTGTATCATCAATAGAGCCAAAAACATTAACTTGTCCTAGTGTTAAGGATTTGCCCTGATCTTCATCCTAGGACAATTGTATCATAAAGGAGAATCTCAAAAAGAGGGGATAGTGTGGCCCAAAAGAATGATTCATTAATGGTACCCAGAGGTGAAGAAAGATAAACTTGTCTTGCCCCAAACCCTAGCCCACGATCTCCTAGCCAACTTCATCTCAATTGCCTCAGGAGGTCAGTTCCTGCCTCCACGAAGCCCATTGTAGTTTCTCCTTACACCAACCTAGGTGCAAAGCCTCACCATTTTGCCAGCTTCTGCAGAAAAGTCATTAAAGCAAAGATATCATAGTCTCATTTTTGTTGTTGAGACAGAGTCTTGCTCTGTCGCTCAGACTGGAGTGCAGTGGTGTAATCTTAGCTCACTGCAGCCTCTGCCTCCTGGGTTCAAGCGATTCTCCTGTCTCAGCCCCCCAAGTAGCTGGGATTATGGACAGACACCACCACACATGGTTAATTTTTTTGTATTTTTAGTAGAGATGGGGTTTCACCATGTTGGGCTGGTCTTGAACTCCTAACCTCAAGTGATCCACCCACCTCGGCCTTCCAAACTGCTGGAGGCATGAGCCACCACACCTGGCCTATGATAGCCTTTATAGCCTGGAGATTTGAGGGGTTGTGGAAAGGGGCTGGTATCACTTACAATCTTGCTGGTTCCACAACTGTCTTAGGGAAGATCTATGCTATTCTGTCCCTTCCGAATCTTCTCCCAACACATGACCCCGCCCCACTGCAGCCCTGGAGACTGTGGTCTTGGCCACTTCCTTCTGTCCTGATCCTTCAGCTTCTTCCCAGCCACTCCATCCCCAACCGTGAGAATTCTGGGCAAGACAAGCTTTCATCCTCCTGCTGTGTCTTTCTCCTCCCCAGGCTGAGAAACCAGACTGCATGGAACGCTTGCAGCTGCAAAGGAGACTGGGTTGTCGGACATTCCACTGGTTTCTGGCTAACATCTACCCTGAGCTGTACCCATCTGAACCCAGGCCCAGGTTCTCTGGAAAGGCAAGACATGACCCTGCGAAGATGGGGAGAGGGGGAAGGGAGAGGGAAGCTTCCCAAGACAAGAACTAGATGTTCAGCTGTTCCATGTCCCTGGCCAACGACTAACAGTTTAGCAGAGCCTCAGAGGCCTTGGGCCCATCCCCTGCCTTCATGACAGTCTGAGGAAGGTAGCTGGGTTTTGTCCCATAACCCACTCCAAAGCCCCTCCTTCAGGAGGCTTGTCCCTTAGAGTTAGTGGCTTCAGTTTCACCACACTCATTGTTGTGGCCTGAACTCCACACCTTGGGCTGTACTCCAGAGAATACAGGAAAGGAATGGTGTCTGACCAGGGTATCTTTACAGTGGGATTTGGAATTCACTTCTGTGTGGGGGTCCACTTTCAGCTCCACAACACTGGACTTGGGTTCTGTGCAGACTGCCAGGCAGAAGGGGACATCCTGGGCTGTCCCATGACGTTGGCTCCTTGCAGTGACAGTCGGCAGCAACAGGTGGGTAGTCAGACTTCTCAGGATGAATGATAGCACAAGAAGACTTTCAAGTGGGTAATGTTTCTATGGGATGCTCTGTACTTCCCTTTGAGGTATCTTCTTTCTGTGGCCCCCATGGCCCTTGACTGCCATGATCCCCCACTCTAATGACCCATCACAGCTTTGCTCACGTCAACTCCATCTGTAAGCACAGACATGGGCCTTCGTCAGAAAATAAAAGCATCTTAGTTGAAGGGAAATGGAGAGGCTGTCTGGCCAAACTTTTCATTTGACAGATAAGAAAACTGAGACTTAGAGTCACTAGCCCAGGGGTTGCAAACTCAGAAGCATCCAGGGTTCAGGCAGGGTTCAATGGTCCGAGGACCAAGGAAGAAGGTAATCAAATCAGGATAAGGATCTAGATGCAACAGGGTCCTTCCAACCTCCAGCACCATTTGGTCATTAGGAAGGCCTCCTTATATCTTAGGAGTAATTCTTCTCTTCAAAATTTCCATCATGGAATAACTGCCCAAAGTGGCAGAAATCCTCCGCTGATGCTAGCTGAGGGCATGTAGGTCCACTTCTTTTCACAACTAGATGACAACCTAGAAAGTCTAGCCTGTCCCCAGGTCTCTCTGTTTTCAGGTTGTGATGGGGGTTTTCAGTTATCACATCCCAAAGGCTCCTAATAAAAACAAACATCAAAGTATAATTTCCTGGAGATACTCACTGGAAGAATCAAAGATCCTGTAGGCAAAACACAGCATCTCTGTGAGGGTCTGTGGTGCAGGGCTGGATGATGCTGGGCTTGGCAGTGCAGGCCCTGGGGTCCTGGGGACAGGCCCTGGGCTTATAGGACATGTGGGAGGGAGATGCTCAGGATCCATGTGGCCTCCTCTGGCTCTGCCCTTTGCCAGTCTCCTACGACATACTGATACGCATCCACACCTGGCACATAAACATCAAGTCCTGAGTGAGGAAGCCACATAGTAGGGTGAACCGTTCAAGCTTTGCAGTCAGATATAGCTCGGTTTGAATCTGAGCTCCTTTGTTTTCTAGCTGTGTGATCTTGGCAGGCTTCTTTAAATCTTGGTTTCCTCGTCTGCAATTAAGAATAATGTAGCCTTTACAGAGATTATTCCAAGTTTGAAAAAGAAGAATTAAAAAATAAAGAAACAAAAGAACAATACAGCTTCCTTCATGCAAAATGAATATTAGCTCTTTTTTGTTCCTTTCTTTTTTAATAGTAAGACCTTTAGGATTCTGCAATATTGTAAATTAGGTAAGTTGAAAGCCCTTCCCTATAAACACCTAGATAAGATATGCTGGATAAAAAATCATAGCACACCCTTTTTCATGAATAAATGAGTTCATAAGAAAGAAAGGGAAACCTCCAAGGGTTGGATAACAAGAGGCAACTGAAAGTAGAGGAATCGGGCATGGGCAAAGCTGCCCTACCAAGTGTGAGGGGACAGTTACTGTCAACCTCAGGAATCTACAGGTGTTGGCTCCATGCAAGGACAAGTGACGAGAACCCAGCTTCAGCCCAGGAGAGACGAGAAGCCGGAGATGAAACTCCCATAGCAAACCAGCTTTGACCTTCAAAGGGTAACCTGTCCTTGAAAAGTTTGACTAGAAATGCCCACCCCCTGCCTTAAGAAAATGGCAAGAAGCTTGTTCCTACAGGGGCTTTGAGTAGGAAACAAATTACTCTCCCCTGAGAATTTTTAATCATAAGCTTGCATCTAATATGGGCTTAGGTTCACATGTGTGCCACTTGTGTAGTTTGGGAATCCAGCAGGACAGGCTATCTAATTGCAGGGCTCGGTGCAAGATGACTGTGTAGTCTTGAATTTGACAATTACAAATTTCAAAACAGTGACAGCAGAGCATTAAACCAAGTTTATTAAACCAAGAGTCCAAGAGTATTAAACCCTTCTAAGCATGAGGCCCCATGTGACCACACAGGTCACATGCCCATGAAGCTGATCCTATCTGTAAGCCACAAAATTCACATAAAAATGAGTTCAGGCTGCATTGACAGAAACAAACAGAAAATAGTCCTGCAAGGACATGGCTTCCAATTAATTTTCCCAGGATGCTCACAGATAAAGCCCCTCTCAGAGGTGTGCACAATCCAACACTACAAACACTGGAGGAAACAATAACCATGAGCGAGAGCCAGCAAATATAACAAATGGCAGAAAAATTAGTTTCAGAAGCAGGTCAGGGCTCTCCAGAAAGACACCAACCTGGGCTTCCTCATCTGTGCTTTCAACAGTATACCAGCAAAGCCCAGAGCACTTGTTATGGCCTCACCTGTGATACAGTAAATAGAATAACAGAGGAGCATGACAGAGTATGTAAATATGAATGTGAGAACAGCTGGAATGTGGGGACTCCAGAGGCTAGGACTAGTCTAGCAGCATCTTTTTAGACTTCACCATGAGATACGGTCTTGCTGACCCCAACAGAATCTGAAGATTGCCCCCAGACCTCAGCTCTATTGTGGATTCTTCTCACCTCCTCTACAGCGTTGGAGAGTATTTCTTTCTAGCTGCGCTAACAACCATTGCTTCTGTCAGTACCTGCAGCACACCAGCAGGAAGGAGATCCACTTTGGCAGCCCACGGCACCTTTGCTTCGCTGTCAGGCAGGAGCAGGTAATTCTTCAGAACTGCACGGAGGAAGGCCTGGCCATCCACCAGCAGCACTGGGACTTCCAGGAGGTGAGTAATCTGTTCAGGAAGAGGCTGGTGGTGCTGCTGGTCAGAAGGAACTGCTGGTTGGCACTGCATCCTGGCCTCTCCCAAGAGATCAGGTGTTATGACCTCTGCCTCTGCTTTTGAACTTAGTGGATGGGCAGTAAGTCCTCAGGGGGAGGAAAAGGCAACCCAGCAGCAAAGTTGGGCCACTGGCATCTTCAAATATAATGATTTGTGAACTACATGTCTCTGTGTAGCTCTGACATTGGTCATTGCAGAGAGAGGGATCCACCTCTTTTTGAAGTTTATCAGCTCAGTTCTCAGGATGGTGAGGCATGTTACAGAAGTGTTCAGCCACCTTGGGGGTGTGGTTTAGGAGCAATTCAAAGTTCCTCCTCCATCAGGAAACTTCAGATGTAGATGTAGATGTAAATATATAGATATATAGATATCACTTCCTTCCTTTTAATGCAAATTCCACTGTAAGTATTTAACCATTTGAGTAAAATTTTGACCCCTATTACCTTGGAGGAAAGAAACTATAGATCCTTTCTAGAAGTTAGGGAGGAAATAGAAGCAGTGTTAGTGCTTAGGGAGAGGGAGCAGGTCCCATATACAGAATCGGGATCGGTAGATGACACTATCAACACTGTGTCCATACACAGCTTTTTCTCCACCTCAAATTCTTCCTGAAATGAGTTGGGGTATTAACATACAAACAAATAAATACAGATATTTTAAAAATTTATTTTCTTCAACTTCTACTTGGGAATAAAAAGGATAAAATGACTAAGCAGAATCCTTTGGTACTCTTAAAGCAGGCTGTGAAAGAAGAAAATCATCTAATAGAAAACTGAAGCTAAGCTCACAATAAGCACTTGAGAACAAAACACTTGGGGCTTTGGTGATCAGCTGAAGGCAGGACTCAAGGGATCCACACATGCTCAAAGAAGTCTTTTTTTTTTTTTGAGACAGAGTGTCACCCTGTTACCCAGGCTGGAGTGCAGTGGTGGGATCTCGGCTCACTGCAACCTCCGCCTCCTGGATTCAAGTGATTCTTATGCCTCAGCCTCCTGAGTAGCTGGAATTGCAGGTGTGAGCCACTGTGCCTGACTAGATTTTGTATTTTTTGTAGAGACAGGGTTTTGCCATGTTGGCCACATTGGTCTTGAACTCCTGACCTCAGGTGACCCACCTGCCTCGGCCTCCCCAAGTGCTGGGATTACAGGCGTGAGCCACAGTGCCTGGCCTCAAAGAAGTCTTATAAGCCAAGTTAAGGTCCTTTGTATATTATCTTAAAGGATTTTTCTAAGCAAGTCCTATTAATAACATATGCTTTAGAAACGGCATTTAAAAATAGTAAGTAAAAGATTAGGGAGTAAGATATACCCAGCTTATTTCAGGCATTAATAAATAATACTTTTCAAAGTTATTATCATTCAGCCAGAAAAAGGAATGAGGTACTATTCCTGGTGGCACTGTTTACAATGGCCAAGAAGTGAAAGCAACCCAGGTGTCCATCATAGGTGAAGAGATAACAAAATGTGGTATTATATACATGTTATTCAGCCTGAATAAGGAAGAAAATCCCATCACCTGCTACAATAGGGGCATATCTTGAGGACATTAAGCTGGTGAAATAAGCCAGTCACAAAAGGACAAACACTGTATAATTCCACTAATATGAGATATCTAAAGTAGTCAAATTAATAGAAACAAATTAAAATAGTAGTTACTAGGGGCAGGCAGGGGAGGAGAAAAAGGGGATTTGTTGATGAATGAGTGTAGAGTTTCAGTTTTACGAGATGAAAAATTTGGATATCTGTTTCATAACAATGTGAATTTATTTAACACTAGATCAACATTCTTTTTTAAAATTTTTTAACATTCTTTTTTTTTTAATCTTGGCTCACTGCAACCTCTGCCTCCTGGGTTCAAGTGATTCTCCTGCTCTAGCCTCCTGAGTAGCTGAGATTAGAGGCACCCGCCACTATGCCCAGCTAATTTTGTATTTTTAGTAGAGATGGGATTTCACCATGTTGGCCAGTCTGGTCTGGAACTCCTGATCTCAGGTGAGCCACCCGCCTTGGCCTCCCAAAGTGCTGGGATTACAAGTGTGAGCCACCTTACCAGGCCTATTAGGTCATTCTTGGATTGCTATAAAGAAATACTTGAAATGGGGTAATTTATATGCAAAGAGGTTTAATTGGCTTGGCTCAGGGTTCTACAGACTGTACAGGAAGCGTAGTGGCATCTGCTTCTGGGGAGGTCTCAGAGAGCTTTTCTCATGGCAGAAGATGACATGGGAGCAGGCATATCATATGGTGAAAGCAGGAACAAGAGGAAGTGAGTGGGGGGGTGGTGCCACATACTTTTAAATGACCAGATCCTAAGAACTCACTATCACGAAGCACCAAGCCATGAGGATCTGTCTCCACTATCAAACATCCCCCACCAGCCGCACCCCCAGCATTGGTGATTACAATCCAACAGGAGATTTAGATGGGGACCAAAATCTAAACTGTATCAACTACTGAACTTAATACTTAAAAATGCCTAAGATGGTAAAAGTTTTGACATGTGTTTTTATCACAATTTTTTTTAAAGTCTGACTGTAGTGGCTCACACTTGTAATCCCAACACTTTGGGAGGTGGAGGTGGGTAGATCACAAGGTTAGGAGTTCAAGACCAGTCTGGCCAATATGGTGAAACCCCATGTCTAGTAAAAATACAAAACTAGTCAGGCATGGTGGCATGTGTTTGTAGTCCCAGCTACTCGGGAGGGTGAGGCAGGAGAATCACTTGAACCTGGGAGGTAGAGGTTGTAGTGAGTAGAGATCTGTTGCCCACTGCACTCCAGCCTGGGCAACAGAGCAAGACTTTGTCTCAACAAAATAAAAAATAAAAATAAATAGAAAAACAAAGGTGTGTTACAACGTGGATGAACCTTTAAAATATTACACACAGTGCCCAACACTTTGGGAGGCAGATATCGGTGGATCACTTGAGGTTAGGAGTTTGAAACCAGTCTGGCCAACATGATGAAAACCCATCTTTCCTAAAAATACAAAAAAGTGGGCGTGGTGGCATGTGCCTGTAATCCCAGCTACTCCGGAGGGTGAGGCAGGAGAATCACTTGAACCTGGGAGATGGAGGTTGCAGTGAGCTGAGATTGTGCCACTGCACTCCAGCCTGGGAGACAGAGCAAAGCCCTGTCTTGGGGGAAAAACATTACACAAAGTGAAAAAAGCCAATTACAAAAGGCCACATTTATATAGTTTCATTTATATGAAATGTCCAGAATAGGAAAATCCATAAATACAGAAAGTAGATTAGTGATTAGTCACTGGGAGGATGGAGGAATGGGAGTGACTGCCGATGGGTAGAGGGTTTCCTTTTACAGTGATGCAGATATTCTGCAATTGGATAGTAGTGAAGGTTGTACAGCTTTGTGAATACTTGTGTACTTTAAAGGGGTAATATTATGATCTCTATATTAGTCTGTTCTCACACTGCTATAAAGATATACCTGAGACTAAGTAATTTATGAAGAAAAGAGTTAATTGACTCACAGTTCTGCAAGCTGTACAGCAAGCATGGCTGGGGAGGCCTCAGGAAACTTACAATCATGGCAGAAGGGGAAAAGGAAGCAAGCCCCATTTTCACATGGCGGAGCAGGGGAGAGAGAGTGAAGGCGGAGGTGCTACACACTTTCAAACAACCAGATCTTGTGAGAACTCTATGATAAGAACAGCCAGGGGGATGTCTGCCTTCATGATTCAGTCACCTCCCGCCAGGCCCCTCCTCCAACGCTGGGAATTACAATTCAACATGAGATTTGGGTAGAGGCACAGAGCCAAACCATATCAATCTCAAAAATTAATAAATGAATGATGAATAAATAAATAGGCATTTTCAGAATTGCTGGTTAAGATTATTTAACTTTTCATAAAGAAATTTGTCTTGAAAAGAAGATTGGATTCAATATTAAATCTGGTGATTTTAAGCAGGGAATAGCCGTAGCCTTTTGAACATGACCGGTTTAGGTCTTCAATATATCCTAGAGATCTTGCTCACTACTGCAGCCTGGTAACAACAGTGCCCAATTGCAGGATTAACAGGAGGTAAGGTGAATTAAACAGTTTTGAAAGCAGATTTACAAGTACAGTAACAACGAATGTCACAAATGCAGTGTAGAGACCCAACATGCTCTGGGAATTATACTAACCAGAACTTTCCAAGAAATGGCACAACTACACAACTACGATAAAGATAATTGAATTAGTTACCCCTAAGGTTTTGAGTGACATCCAAATTTTAGTACTGCCTAAATCATATTTTATGTTAAACAAAATACCTCAATTCCTTTCCAGGCCAGTTCACACTACCTGTTATTCTCTTAATGACTAATGCAAATCTTAAAAATACTCTCTTTTGCTGACTGTTGTGGGGGGTTGGTTTTCTTTCCTTTTTTCTTTTCTCTTTTTAGAATGGGATGATTGTCCACATTCTTTCTGGGAAATGCATGGAAGCTGTGGCGCAAGAAAACAATAAAGACTTATACTTGCGTCAGTGTGATGGGAAAGCCCGCCAGCAGTGGCGATTTGACCAGGTCTATGCTGTGGATGAACGATGAACGTCAGTGTCGGAAGGAAAAGAGAATTTTGGCCATCACAGTTCATCTCCAAGTGAACTTAAAGAGCTTGTGTATTTCATGAAGCTTTTGTGTTTGTGCTCCTGGTATTAGGAGAGAAAAAAGCTCCATGAAAGAATATAGGATGTTTCTCCTTTTCACACTTTATTTCATTGACTGCTGGCTGCTTTTTTTTTTTTTTTTAAAGGATCCATTTTATCATTGTCTTCATCACTGGGAAATGATTATTACATAGTATAGAAGATTAGTTGTTTCTCTCCTCTGAGCCCTTAACAATTGCTTTCTCTCTGGCCTGGACATTCTCTGGCAGCATCTCCAGGATACATAAATCCAATGGATCAATTTATTTGTCTTCAAATGGCCTTAACTTGGATTGTCTGTTTGGCCAACCATGAAAATTAAGGAGTGAAGTGGGTATAATGGCATGACATTCCAAAAACTCTGAATTGGTTTATGAGCACAAATGTTGTGTTCATTTGTTGAGCCATATCTCAGAAGAAGGAAAGGAAGCTGCAGAGAGGAAGATGAGGGTTGGAGAGAAGATGCAGGAGCACTTTGGCTCAATTCTCCAGCTCAACCCAGCAGTTGAAAGAGTCAGAGACCTTGGAAAAGACATTTTCATGTTAATGAGAATTTCCCCCGTTATGGAGAATTTCCTTCCTAATGAGAATCTACCTCCATTCACCCTTCTGTGTCTCTTCTCTAACTTGGTTAACGATGACCAGATTCCCTTGCAATCGATTTCTCTTTAGTCCTTGGTGTCCAAAGTATCAGCACAAACTGAGCATTCCCATTTACAAAGGTGTTCACAGTTGAGAAACTCTCCTACTGGGCGTGATGGCTCATGCCTGTAATTCCAGCACTTTGGGAGGTGGGCAGATCACCTGAGTTCAGGGGTTTGAGACCAGCCTGGTCAACATGGTGAAACCCCGTCTCTACTAAAAATACAAAAATTAGCCAGGTGTGGTGGTGCATGCCTGTAATCCCAGCTACTTGGGAGACTGAGGCAGGAGGATCGCTTGAACTCAGGAGGCAGAGATTGCAGTGAGCCAAGATCACACCACTGCACTCCAGCCTGAGTGGCAGAGCAAAACTCCATCTCAAAAAAAAAAGAAAGAAAGGAAAAAAAAGAGAAACTCTCCTGATGCCTTGTTACAGGGTTTGCACTGACTGGATCAGAAAGAGCAACCTTTCCAAAAAGGCAAACCTCCCTGGAAGGAAAATTCTTATGACAGGTAACAATTGGGTGTTAACGTTCATGAGAGCTGACAGGGCCATCTCTGAGCCCATATAACTGTCTGGGACCCTCAGATGTGTCCACAGGTTGAATGTTCATGAGTGTGGAAAGAGCACGGCTCATCTGGAGCACAGCAGAGGCTAATAAGAGGTAAATGACTTTCCTTGCCCTGACCGGGCTTACCTAGTTCAGCCATAAGAGTTGCTGAGTGGGATGGGCTCTGCTATTTTAAAAACGCCATTCATATTCATTTTTCCCCAGATGGAGTTACTTTTCTACATGGTCAGCTTAGAAATCTTCCCCTAAAGATGCTGATCTCCTTTAGGCTGTCTCAGAACACAGTATCCTTCAAATAAGAAAAACTGGGTGGCAAGTGCAGTGTTTCCAAACAATACCTATCATAACTACGTATTCATTGTCTACCTGCTAAGTCAAGTTTCACTCTATTTCTCCTTCCTCAGAATACACTCTGGAACTGTGCTGTATAATACGGTAGGCACCAACCAAATGTGGCCATTTTAATGTAAATTCATTAAAATCAAAGAAAATGTAGAACTCAATTCCTCGATTGGACTGGCCACATTTCAAATGCTTACCACTCAGCTGTGGCTAGGGTCTACTGTGTTGGTGAGCCCGGATACAGAACATTTCTTCCTCACAAACCGTTCTGTTGGACTGATCTAGATAGGTTCATTATCCCTTCTGGAGAAGAGACTTTAGCCACTGTCTTCTGGCTTCAGACCCATCTATATTTAAAACAAGTTTCCCTAAATCCTGAGACTGAGATGGAGCTAAAAATTCTCAGTTGGCAACTGTGTAAAGGGTATTAGTGGTTGAAGAAAAAACAATTTTAAGACCTCTATTTTTTAAATGAAATTTATTATTGGCATTGTGGGTGTTTGAAGTTGCTGGGATAAATTAATATAATTAAATAAAAGGCTGAATTCAATTGTGTAAGTTGTTGGTGGTGGTAATTAACAAAAGGACCCAGATGGCTTATTGCTTAATTGGTTGAACAAAGCAAGAATGTGGTGTTTCTTGGTTCCTTAACCAGCTCCATGATTTATTACTTTATTACAGAAGTGGCTGTCAACGCAGTCCCTGGCCGGTATTTATAGACCCTTAATTTGAATAAAACAGATGCCTCCATTTAGTTCTAAAAGGACCTTCTCCTTTAGTATAACCAAGTGTACACATTCCCTTCTCTATGAACTCAGCACTTGTTTTATCCATAATGGTCAACTTAAAAGTGGAGAAACTTGTCAGTGGAGAGATCTGATTCCCAAGAGATTGATTTCACTTGTCTCTGAATTTTAAAATTGGATTTCGTTGTTTGTTTTATTATAAGACTGAATTTTGTTACCACTTCCACCACATTCATCATCATTATTAACTATCCCACTGAGGAGAACAGAGAGAAGTGTCCAGCCAGCAGTCTAGAGTCCCACACTCTTTATGCTGTATTACAACAGTAAGAGTAGATGTCCTCCCTGGAGGGGCCCTGGCCTGTTTCCTCTCTGGTCGCAATGCCGTAGATCCCACTGGAAAACTCAGAATTCCAACCATCATAAACATGTGGTTGAAAAGTCCTCAGTGACAATAATGATGCCATCATTACAGCAGAACTTGACGTTTTAGAGGTCATGTTATTGTGCTTATTGTGAGGGGGTTCTGTTTTTCTACTGGACGGCTATGAAAACGCCAGTTGGACACTAGTGATCTGTGACCAGTCACCAAATTTGGGCAAACAAAATGCAAACAAGTTGCATTTTTACAGAAAGCATTCAAAGAAACAAGGATAGCATACATAATATGTAGAGTTGTGTAAACATTGGTACGGACTGCCTTGCTGGGCACAATGCTACTTATTATGTACAGTATTTATGCTTGTTCTTTAGAATTTCTTTTGAAAGTACAAATTATCTGTGATTATTTTCGGGCAAGGCCCAAAGCACTTACAAGTCCTGCCCTGATTTTTCAAATACCTTGACTCGGGCATATTTTAAATGATATGTCAAGCACAATAACCAAGGAAGTGCTATTTCCAGGATTCTAGAACATTCTACTATTCCTGTATTAATAATAGTCCCTCTACTGGTATAGAAAATGTGGCACATATACATCATGGAATACTATGCAGCCATAAAAAAGAATGAGTTCATGTCCTTTGCAGGGACATGAATGAAGTTGGAAACCATCATTCTCAGCAAACTAACACAGGAACAGAAAATCAAACACCACATGTTCTCACTCATAAGTGGGAGTTGAACAATGAGAACACATGGACACAGGGAGGGGAACATCACCCACTGGGGCTTGTCAGGGGTTTGGGGAGCAAGGGAAGGGAGAACATTAGGACACATACCTAATGCATGCGGGGCTTAAAATCTAGGTGATGGGTTGATGGGTCCAGCAAACCACCATGGCACATGTGTACCTATGTAACAAACATGCACGTTCTGCACGTGTATTATAGAACTTAAAGTAATATAAACAATAATAATAATAGTCCTCAATCTCAAATCTTCTTCCCAGTTTCAACTCCTTCTTACATGAAATGTGCTCTTTGGATATGGCAGTGTGTCCTAGGCATTGTAATAATATTGTTTTAATATTAGGAGGATCTTTGCTGGATTAGTAGTTCTTTCCACGGGTATGGGATGTTTATATTTCTTCATCACCGAAGGCTCTACATAATACTAATACACTAAGCTATCACCACAAATAAACAGCCTGCCTGATGGTTTGTCTTCAAAAAAGAATCATCAGAATCACCATGATGACTTTACCCCTAGGGTAAGACTTTACCGCTGTTTACAAGCTTAGTCCAAGGAGACCAGATTCATGTTTGAAAATTAACCTTCCCTAACAATTCCCAAACTGTTCAGCTAGCTCATAGTGAATGGACATTCCAGGACCTATGACAAATGCTAAAATGATACAGGCCTTCCTCTGTCTGTCCCTCCCTGTTTCCCTCCTCTCTCTCAGGATGAGAGCAGGACCAACCCTGCTGCAGCTGAGGCTTATGAAAGGCCCTTAACTTCTCAGCAAAGTGTGACCAGAGGGTGGGACATACTTTGCTTCATTCAGAGACCCTCAAGAAGGCACTGCTGATCACTCTCCTCTACGCCCAGGCCAAGGGTGGCATTGTTTAATGTCTTATTTAAATAAGATCCAGGAAAACCTGACCTGCTGTCTTTGAAGTCATGACTTACCCAGGTGCACTAATGCTGAAGCTGTTCAGAGGGTGTGAAAGGTGAGCACCTAATTAGATTATCCAAAATTCTTCAAAACTCTCCAACCCAAGCCTTGTGGCTATAGTGGGAGCTGCCTCGCTCCCACCATAAGATTGCACCGCCTCCTCCCAGTTGAACACCTGACTCATGTTGGGCCAATCAGCACATTCCTTAGTAATTTCGTTATTGAGACTAAGAAATCAGTCTCTCTACCAGTGACTTAAGAGATAATGTGAGGCTGGGCGTGGTAGTTCACGCCTTTAATCCTAGCACTTTGGGAAGCCAAGACAGGAGGATCACTTGAGCCTAGGAGTTTGAGATCAGCCTAGGCAACATAGCAAGACCCCCTCTCTACAACAAAACAAAACAAAACAAAACAAAAAGCCAGTTTCATAGCCTGGCCTCAACATAAATAAATAAATAGATTTTAAAAATTTGAAAAAGAGATAATGTGAGAATGCTGAGCTCTCAGCAGACTTGTTTTCTGTATATGGCCCTATGAAGCAAATGAGTCCAGTCTGGAGAGTGAATTAGAGACAGGTGTGGGGTGGAAGCAAATATACAAATAGTAGCAGAGGCGAGGTTGGGCTAGAGCACCTTGATGGTATTTGAGCTGCCGGTTCCAGTTTGTTCCCCAGGCCTTGCTCGATGCCTGTCTCCGGAGTGTGCGAGACAACCCGAAATGTTTTTGTTTAACTCAGTGCTCCTCAAATTTTCCTGTGCTCAAGCAGGGACTGTGTTAAAGTGCAGATTCTGATTTGGGGCCTGAGATTCTACATTCCTGCAAGCTCCTAGGTAATGCTGCTCCTGCTGGCCGGAGACCCCCATGTGAGTAGCAAATGTTGAAATGATTCCAGTAGTTTTCTGGGTTTTTCTAAATTGTTACTTAGAGCTCAGAGAATCCTCACTGGGTGAGTTCTCATGCTATTCTCCTTTGCTTTGTATAGATCTCTTTTTGAAGCCACATGGTAGGATGATTTGATTCTGTATTTTACAGGATAATGCTTTTTTTTTTTTGAGACAAAGTCTGTCTCTGTCGCCCAGGCTGGAGTGCAGTGGCACAATCTTAGCTCACTGCACCCTCTGCCTCTTGGGTTCAAGCAATTCTCCTGCCTCAGCTTCCCAAGTAGCCAAGTAGCTGGGATCACAGGCATGCATCACCATGCTTGGATGCTTTTTGTAATTTTAGTGGAGATGGGATTTCACCATGTTGGCCAGACTGGTCTCGAACTCCTGACCTCAGATGATCCACCCGCCTCAGCCTCCCAAAATGCTAGGATTACAGGCGTGAGCCACCACTCCTGGCCAGGATAATGTATCTTGTTCAATGTAATAACAACGGTTGTTAATTCATTTTTTTCTCTTCCCTCAACACTCTTCCTCTTTCCCATTCTGTCTGCTAATTCTTCTCTTTTGACCAGGGGAGTTTTTTAACCTTTTTTGTTGTTCTTGCTATTTGTCTGTGGTCATGTTGTCCCTCCCTCACTTTCCTTATCTTGCCCCCAACTTCCCTCTATTTCTCATCTTTGAGCAAACCTGCTTTTCCAACACCATGTTCTTGTGGTAACTTTTATTTCACTCTTACTTTTCCTCTCTCTGGGCGTCCATGCCCTTCTGCCATCAGTTTCAACTGGCCAATCTTGATGGAGTGAACAGCATCAGTTTCTCCAAAGGACTTTTAGAACACTGAGCAAATAAATTAATAGTGCCAATTTTCAGCTCTTCTTCTGAGGGAATCCATAGGTGAAGGCACAGAAATGCCATTTAATATGGATTTGGAATAATAGGGCTACTGGAAGTGCTTCCGATACGGATGGGAATATGGCCCTCATGTTGAGGAGGCAGCTGGGGCTCTGGCAGGCAGATCACCCTATATAGTGGATTTGCATAGCGGCAACTATAGGGGACTCCCTGGAGATGGACCAGGACTTGTGGTCTCTGAAAATAGCCACATCTAATAGCCAAATGTGAAACTAGGTGATTGGAAAACAAATCCTGCCAAAGCCCAAGATTTGATTCTCTTAATCCTTCAGTCCTGCAGTAAAGTTAAAGCATGCATAACTAAGAAAGAGATACCAAATTCATCCTCCAACACCAGAGGCTCTAGGAGTGACATTGGGTGTTCTGGCCCCACCCACATCCCTCTGGTCTTATAGCTTCAGCTTTCTCCAAAAGAAGTTCCAACTGTCAGTTATCTGTATTTCTTCACCTGGATTCCACCCACCCCCCTGCCACCCCCTGCCCTACCAGAGCCAAAGAAGACTGCTTTATGATGTGGGGCAGGCCAGAAAAGCCTTGGAAGTCACATTCCCCAAAAGCAGTCCTCAACTGATGACTGATGGGAGTTGGTGTAGAAATACCTCAGCTCCCTTACCTCTTCCATAGGATAGCTCTGAAGTGCATGTTCTACACCATTCCCCGGAGTTTACCATGGGATTAAGCTCTAGTCACCCACAGTGGTGGCTGGCTTGATAATGCATCTTTAACTGGCTGCATTCCCTTCCCCACTTCCTTACTGGCGTTTCCTGGGCTAATCTTCCAAGTAGACCACTTGCACACAAATCCTTGTCTCAATCAATGTCTCCTAATGGGGAAACCCACCCAAACACACATGGCTTGTCCCACCAAACGCTTGCATCTAGAAGAGTTATCTTTATTATCAGAGGTTACTCTTTGTTTCACCAGTAGTCTTGACCCATGCACTAAATAATCCCATTCCCCTGAGTTGAACTTGTCCTATCAACTGCAAGGCTAGAGTATGGGCTTCTAGGCAGCTATGCCCATGAGAAAGTCTGGGGGAGGAGCAACGTACTTGGCCCTTATCCCAATCTTGTTATAATATTAGACATCCTTCCTCCCTGGGGGAAAAGTGAATGGGGAGTGGAGAGAGTCCATGAGTGTTTCACTAATTGATGCCCTTTTTGAAGAAACTTGAAGCCTGATGAAGCAAGTTTCCTCCTGCCTCACAAAAAATGGTCCCTCTTATATTTCAGTTATTTTCCTATAACTGCTACATAACAGTATTAGAGGATATAGAAATATACCATAGAAGTTAGGAGTGAAATGCATGATTGCTTTCCATGATAAAGTGAGGGAGATTCAGATATGAGTATTGAGGAAGAGATGGGTTCAAACAATATGATGAAGAGTAAGATGATCAAGAAGGTATCTCTAACGAGAGCAGAAGTGACTTGCCAGAGGATTTCCAGGGTTAGGTGTCTAGTCCTCAATATAAAGTTATTTGCCTTATTTCCATTACCCCAACCTTTTAGCTAAGACTTCCATAATGACTTGTGTAGGATGTTGGGAATGGAAATCAAGGAACAGGGCTGAGCTCCCTGGACAGGACAGAGAGGGAAAGAGCAGTGGGATAGACACCAGTAAGACTGGGCATTCAGGCCAGGTGTGGTGGCTCACACCTGTAATTCCAGCACTTTGGGAGGCCGAGGCAGGTGGATCACTTGAGGTCAGGAGTTCGAGACCAGCCTGGCCAACATGGTGAAACCCAGTCTCTATGAAAAACACAAAAATTAGCTGGGCATGGTGGTGGCTACCTGTAATCCCAGCTACTCAGGAGGCTGAGGCAGGAGAATTACTTGAATCCAGGAGGTAGAGGTTGCAGTGAGCTAAGATTACACCATTGCACTTCAGCCTGGGTGACAGCAAGACTCTGTCTCAAAACAAAAAATAAGACTGGGCATTCAGTGGAATCAGAACTCAAAAACTGAGTGACAGTGGTATGGAAAAGAATTAATACAGATTGTTGCCACACACCACCGAACAGTGCCAATCAGGATATTTCAAAATTATGTTAGACTATGAACTAGAGTTGGGGTAGCAAACTTGTTCTGCAAAGGGCTAGACAGGAAATCCTTTTGGCTTTGCAGACACCGTTATCTCTGTTAACTACTCCTCTCTGCCAAAGGAGCCATGGACGGTAATCAACAAATGAACATGGCTGTATTACAGTGAAACTTTATTTACCAAAACAGGTGGCTGCCGGATTTGGCCAACAGCCATAACTTGTCACCCTCTGGACTACAGTGTTTGACCAAGCTGTAGGAGATAAATTACAGATTCTTTAAAAATAAACAGAGAAATATTACCGAAGAAATAGTGAATGAGCTTGGAAAATATAAAAATAAAGTGTTTCTCCATTATAAATAACCAAACAGCAAAAAATAACAGGGAAACTGTGTATAGCATATGTTATCATTGTGAGCAGACTCCAGTACTTTCTAGAAAAAAGTTGGAATAAACAAATTGTTTTTAAAAATCAAATAACAAAATATTGACACTGTAGCTCACAGTCTTCCTTCTTTGGGGAACATAAAGATTCCAAGGGTCTTCACTGTTAACAGAGGTTGAGCAAATTAGCTTTCTTTAGGAGACCACAGCTGCAATAAGAACATGAACGTGGAGGGGAGGGCTGCTCAGAAGCACAGAGGAACTCTCAGCATCTTAGCCAAGCCAAAGGGATTCAACTGTGCCAAGAGTTACAGTTTTAACACTCTAGTTTTTATCTTACTGTGGTGAAGATATTCACAAAGGGCAAAGCACACGCTCCCCCAACACACACATCTCTTGTGTTTGGGAAGTAAGGACAATCAGACACAAGCTCTGGTATAGGATAAAAGCAATAACCTCTGGTTATTTATATAAACTCTGATCCCTGGCATTCAACTTAGCCAGACTTCAAAACACAAATGCTAGAAGTCAGGCCAAGGAAAGGGGCTTCCAAAAGCAAGCCTTGGGGCCAGGGCTGCACCAGGCCAACAAACCTCACTCCTTGTGCTCCAAAGCCAACACAAGCTCATAAAACATATTTAGCAGCCAAGCCCAGGGTGCCTCCTGCCTGTTATAGTCTATGCTTGGGGCTGTCAGCTCATCACGCCCCTTCACATGTCAGTGTTGGCATGCCGAGGCTGGTTCCAGATAAAACAGCCTGAGGCACCTCACCCTCCTCACACTCATGGACAGCTCCAAGCTCTCCAGCCCTATGTCTACTTCGCATTCTGTTGTACCAGCTGTGCTGCTGACCCCAGCTATTATCGTCTAGTGAGCCTTCACCATGCATGAGGGACAGGCAGCTGTACAGATCTGAGTGCCCAAGTGGAAGCCACAGTTGAGGCCTATTGACTTTTTTTTTTTTTTTTGAGACGGAGTTTCGCTCTTGTTACCCAGGCTGGAGTGCAATGGCATGATCTCGGCTCTCCGCAACCTCCGCCTCCTGAGTTCAAGCAATTCTCCTGCCTCAGCCTCCTGAATAACTGGGATTACAGGCGTGCACCACCATGCCCAGCTATTTTTTGTATTTTTAGTAGAGACGGGGTTTCACCATGTTGACCAGGATGGTCTCGATCTCTTGACCTCGTGAACCACCTGCCTCGGCCTCCCAAAGTGCTGGGACTTTTATTTTGGCTATTGACTTTTATTTTGGAGTAAAGTCCTGTTCCCCAGCACTCCCCCATGTTGGTAACAGGTAAAGGATAAAACTCTTTGAGAATCTCCAGTCAACTCTCTGAGAATATCCGTGGCCACTCTCCTTGGAAGGCCCTGGCACACAGCTCTAGGTAGTCGGCTGGTTTGTCTGATGGTGGGGCCGCCACTGTCTCCAGTTTCCCTCTCCGTGCCCTGACTATAATATCCGCTCACAGACTGGTTTAGGCAATGCCCTCATTCCCCAGCTTGTCAGCTATTCAGGTCCCTCCACCTACCTATCCGCCACTTCCTCACCTATTCTCTCTATCCAGGTGATTCCAGACTTGCAGGTGGGGCCCAGAGGGACACGTGATATGTGTTGCTTTAAGGTGGCTCTTGTCCCTACATCGTGATTCAATACAGTTCAGCAAAATTATTTTTCAGACTAAGTCGTAGACTCCTTTTAGCCGAGAGCCATGGTCTACACTTCCTCGTTTTCCTCTTAGTGGTTACGATGGAGTTGGATGCTTGATTTCGTGGATTCCACTGAGGAGGAGATAAAACAGGAGTTAGGATATGGAAAATGACATTTCAAGAGTTGGGAGAAAAATCAAGTAGAGAAAAACATGGACATCATTAGACAGTAATATCTCTGTGACCAAACATAGGTACTCACTGCCGGAAATCACAGTAGTGACAACCGTAAGAGCTAGGGCCGTGCTAGCTTACTGCACATACCATTGCTATGGTAATAACAACATTATATGAACATTGTTGTTAACATTGTAACAACACTGCAATAGTTGTTGTACCCACATTATTTCTTCTTATAATCACAGTAGCCCAATGATGAGTACTGTTATTATTATATTATTTCATTCTATAGTTGAAGAGTGAGATTTCCACAGGCAGAGTACTTTTCCTAAAGCTAGACAATTTCAAAAGTGATGGGCCTAGATCACAAACCCAGGTTCGTTGGGTTCCAAGGCCTTCACGTTTAACTTCCACATTTGATTGCTTCCCAGTATTTGTGAAGAAAGAAAATAAAAGTGACTATCCAAATGGAAAAGGGTAAAAATAAGGGCCAGGTTGTTTCAGGACCTGCCAAGTTAGATGCATTGGTTTGCATGAGTTCAAGTACGAACAGCAGAATAACCAACTCCTGGGGGCTTAAGAAATAAATATCTTTCGTCATCTCTCATGTCTGGTTGAGGACAGGCAGTTCCATGCCTGGTACAGTGGCTTCCAGACACCTGTGATCCAGGTGCTTTTCAGTCTTCCACTCACCATTTCTGTTGGCTTTTGTTCCTGGTTTCTATCTCTTTACTGGCACAAGATGGTCACCATAAGACCAGACATTACATCCTGGCCCCAGAACCCAAACAGAATGGAGAGGGTAGCAGAGGCAAGTTTTCCTCATTAATAACGTCTTTCTCTTTACTGAGAAAGCAAGATCGTTCCCAGAAGCCCCCAGCAGACCTCCCATCTGTCTCATTGGCCAGAGCCCTCTAGCAGCAAGGGTGGCTGGCACAGCGGCTAGGAAAGTACCTCAGCAAAGGCGGGAAAAGCTGGGCACATTGCCACCCAGAACTTCATAAAGGTTCTGTGAGCCACAAAGTGGGAGGTGGCTGCTGGATGGCCAGTGGCAGTGCCTGCATTTTGAGATGCCTCCTCTGCCAGGCAGGATTGGGCTCTGCTTCTTTTTTTATTGTTATGGGATGAAAATTGCAGGACACTGAGACAGAGACCTACAAAATCCTGTGCTCACAATTCCTGGATATTATCCATTCAGCTCCTGCCCTCTGCCCAAGTAGGAACCTACTCAGTTTGGGATGTGAGGACAGTGCTACCATCTGGAACTCAGCCGCCGCTGGCGTAATTGGTCAAACCCTCTGGGAAGCTGTGGTGTTCTGATCTCTTTTATCGCACAGCTTCCAACGAAATCTGTGGCCCAGGTGTGACAACCAGTAGAGCTCTTACTTTATCCTTGTCTCCGAGAGTCTGGTTTCTCCTTGCTTTCTAAAAGAAACATAAAAGGCAAGCAAGCATGGTGTGTAAAAATGAAGGGGGCAGGCTTCCCATGGGATATATGATGATTTTCTTCCTTTGGTGTAAACATATGATCTAGGAAGTTGCATGAGAATCTTGCTTAAAACAGTAATGACAGCCTTTTCACCCCAACTGCTTCCCATTAGTGGGAAAAGCCATTACTTGGTAGTATAGAGGGGCCTCTGGATTTTCTCAAGGCTTTACCATAAGGCAGATGCTTAAGACAAAATCCTCCAACCCTTTGGTTCTAATCCTCCCCTTCTTAGTCTATTCAGAAACCACAGAAGGTAACAGGATCTGGCCGAAACTCATGAGGGCTGGGCTGGTAAAGCGAAAACCTTTCGTGTGTGACAAATTTCACTGGCTGTGCTTTAGGGGGTTTGCCAAATAGTTTGCCAAATAGAGTTAAGTTTCTGGATGATGTGTTCACGATGAACAAACCGGATTATAATGCCCTTTCAAGAGTGAGTTCTAGTTCTTAGGATTACTTTGTGAATTTATAAACAGTAAATATTTATTAAATATCTGTTATTTACCAAGGTCACATCTCTAGGGCCTTGTCCAATTTGTTTTCTGAACTAATGGCTTGGATGACTTGATGAGTCACTTATGAATCAGAAAATTGCAAAATATCATCTTCACTGAACTTTATGTCAGCACAGACTCCAACAGAGTTGAATATGTACTCCCTGGTTTCTGGGAAGGCAGAGGTATTTCAAAAACAATTCCAGGAAGGCAATCAAATGCTCCTTTCGATGTGTTTGCCAAGTGGGACAGAAAATAGATCTATATTTGTAAATAACAGTCGTTTCCCAACATTCCCATGGGGATATGCCCAGCATATAGTGATCCTTAAAATATATATTTGTGAAGTAATAATCCACCTATGTTCTGATAATTTCCAAGTGTTTCTCCAGCCTTGACTCCACCCATGAACCTCAGATTCACACTCGCAAGCACCTTCAATCTACACTGGAGCCCAAGTGATCTACCTAAAGCACTCCCCTTCCATAATGTCTTCTACACTCCCCGCCACCTTCAGAACAATGCCCCGCCTCCCCAGCACAGCCTGACTACAAGTTTCTCCCTGACCCTGCCTCCACCCTCTGGACTCACCTGCCACTATTTGCCCTATCTCTGAACAGTGTTTTTGTAGTTCCCAATACAACACTATGCTTTTCCTGGTCTCCGCTCTTACCATGCTGTTCCCTCTGCACAGAATGCCCGTCCTGCCTTTTACCAGCTTCTTCTTACCTATCATGGAAGACTGGGTTTATGCATCATGTCTCTGGAGCCTTAAACCCCTAGGCTGAGTTAATTACTCCGCTTCTGGAGCACTGCATATGGAGCCCTGTCTTAACATGGACCACTTTGTGTTAAAATTATCAAAAAGGTGTTTCCTCCACTAGACTTGAAACAAATTTTGCTTTTATTTTTGCCCAAAGTCCCTAGCATAGTATGTGACTCTTGATAGGTATGTAATACATGCTTGTTGAACTTCAGCTAAAGTGACTGCAACGTCTTTTATGCCTAGACAGAAGCAGAATGAAAGTGGAAAAGAAAAATTACAGAGCTAAAATTCAGACACTTAAGAGGTTTTATTTGAGGTCAAATTTAAGAGGACTTTGTCCTGATCACTTTTTGGCTGGCTTTAGACTCTCCACATATGGCTGTAACAACTGCAGACCTCACATCCTCCCCCGACACTGCTCCAGTTTTCTTTTGCTGCATGACAAACTACCCCTAAACTTAGTGGCTTAACACAGCAACTATTATGGCTCGTGATCTTATGGCTCAGGAGTTTGGGCATGGCTCAACTAGGCAAGTCTTTTGCTTCCTGGGGCTCTAACTGGTGTCACTTGGTGGTGTTAGCTCATGGCTGTTCTTTTCTGGAGGGTACAAAAGAGCTTCTCACATGGCAGGGGCAGCTGGTGGGCTGGACTCACCTGGGCTGTTCCCTCTCCATATAATCTCAAGATCATCTCCATCATCTCTGCGGCAGCTATCTTACACAGTGGTTGAGCATCTCCAGAGACCAAGAGGGAGTCTGCCAATTTTCTTAAAGGCCAGACCTGGGACTGACATAGCATCTCCTCCAGCATCCTCCTTTGCTCAAAGCAATCGCAAGCTAGCCCAGACTCAAGGGGGAGGGAAAGCAGACCCCACCTATCCAAGGGACGAGTAGCAAAAATGTGCAGCTATCCTTCAGCTGCCATGCCCGCAGGCCCAGTGGCTAAGACTGAGTCTATGTCCCAGAATCTCCCGCAAAGCTCTTCTGCTTGCTGTGACTGAACTCACTTGCAGAATGTGCCCCTGAACTAATCTCTGTGACCAGGAGCTTGGGAAATCTTGATTAGAGCTAGAGGTGGAAACAATTCTGGCCAATATTATGGTTAAGAAACTCTGTAGGGGCTGAGTGTGGTGACACATGCCTGTAATCTCAGCATGTTGGGAGGCTGAGACAAGCAGATCTCTTGAGCTCAGGAATTCAAGACCAGCCTGGGCAACATGGCAAAAACCAGTCTCTACAAAAAATAAAAATAAAATAGCTAGGCATCATAGCACATGCCTGTAGTCCCAGCTACTCAGGAGGCTAAGGCAAGATCACTTGAGGCTGGGAGGTCCTGGCTGCAGTGAGCCATGATTGTGCCACTGCACTCCAGCTTGGGTGACAGAGAGAGACCTTGTCTTAAAAAAAAGAAAGAAAGGAAGAAAATTCTGTAAGAAGAGGTGGTGGCAGGGGTTGCTGGGGTGGTATCTTAGTTTCAGGTAACATAAGTGCAGCCTGAACAAGGCCTTGGATGCAGGTGATTTATTTGGGAGTTGATCCCAGGAAGCAGGGATCTCCCAGGAAGTGAGAGGGAAGAGTAAGATAGGGAAGGAAGAAAAGCCAATGTAAGGGTGCTGTGAGCAATGGGGTTTGATTCTTTCTGCTCTGAGATGCCCACAGAACATGTTCCGGAAGTATCCACCTCAAGAACAGCAGACTGAGACATTTTCCCACCAGCTCTCATCCCCTATTGGGTGACGGCCACACCCACCCGGGGCCATTAACTCCCTGCAATACACTTTGCAGATTGCACATACAGGAGCAGAGCAGGCTCCCAAGGCTTTAGAAAAGACCCCAATGCCGAAATGTGGAGAGGGTGGGGCTTGCCCTGGATGTTGTGCAAGATGAATCTGAGCCCCCATGGAAGTTCCACCAGAGCAGACGCTGATATCCAAGGAGGCCCCAGGATGGTACACTGGGCACCAACACATCTGCAATAACAGCAAATCAACAAAGGTTCCCTCAGGTCAGAACCCAGTTCGCCTTCCAAATGGCTCGCAGGGATCACTTCCGCAGCTGATGCGGGGGACGCCCAGGTACTTCCTTCCCGTGCTGAGGATTAGCACGGGGCAGCTTCCCTTGGGACTATGCCTGCCTGCCAGCACCACCGGAAACATATCTCTGGGTGATCAAAGTTAGGTTGTTTTTTTTGTTTTTTTGAGACGGAGTCTTGCTCTGTTGCCCAGGCGCGATGTCGCTCACCTCAACCTCCGCCTCCCGATTCAAGCATTCTCCTGCCTCAGCCTCCTGAGTAGCTGGAACTACAGGTGTGCGCCACCATGCCCAGCTGATTTTTGTATTTTTAGTAGGGACGGGGTTTCACCGTGTTGGTCAGGCTGGACTCAAACGCCTGACCTCGTGATCCACCTCCTCGGCCTCCCAAAGTGCTGGGATTACAGGCGTGAACCACTGCGCCTGGCCAAATTTAGGTTTATTGGCAGTTGTCACAGCAAGAAAACCATCCACATGGGGAACCACGGGTGTCTCAGTAGAAGGGTGTCGAGAGGAGCTTCTCAGGAGATCAGTGCTTGGGTCAGGTGATTTGGGGAATAGTTGGGAAGCATGGTCTGGCTTGGGCTTGGGGCTGTCAGAAAGTGGGGTAATTGTATAATTGGGCAACCTAATAATTTTTATCTAGGAGGTTGTGGGGAGCAGAGCAGGGCTGGAGCTGTACTTGATGAACACCCCTCATATTTGCCAGGTGGAGCTGTTTGGTCATTTTCCTAGCTTGCTGGGCGTTCTTGTTTCAGTGTGGTCGTCTCACTCCACTGCAGCCACAGAGTGGGCTGTCTGACGTTGGTGTTCTGTGAAATTGTGTATGTTTTTTTTTTTTTTGAAATTGTGTATGTTAAGCAAGGAGGGGACTCCAGCCAGAGCTGGTGGCTGGTGACTTTTTTTCTCAGGTTTCATATGACACAGGCTCTGCACCCTCAGAAGAGTGGCAGGCACCCATGTTAACACAGCTGCGTGGCTCAAAGCAACAATCAAGACGGAACAGGCACCGATCAATCAGACTGTTCTCCTTAGAAGCTCTTTTGAAGTGTGTTGGAGACATTTGAGGGGCTTCTGTCTACCTCCTTAGTGACTCACAGTGCGATGCTCATGGCTGAACCTGAGTGATGACAGCAGCAAGGAAACTGACAGGGCTGGCCAGTCCATTTCCTGTTATTCACCTGAGGGTGACAAAGCATGACGATGACAGCTCAGATGACATTCCTGCCATGAAATCCTTAAACTAAATGGAGCCAGGCCGCCAGGGAGGAGAGGGACAGGCGTTCCAGGTACAGACTCTGCTGCTGGCTGCAGCCACACAGGAGAGCTTTAAACAGGGCTCTGAGCCTGGAGAGCAGCCTTGGCAGAAGGATTTGTGTGCTGCATTACACTGATCAATGCCAATAGCTGGCCCAGGCTGGAGGACATGCCAACACCTGTCAGGCATCCTAACACCATTGGGCAAATCAGAGGTGTGAGGAAGTCAGCACAGCAGAGAAAGCTACATGTTTCGAAGGATGTGCAGACTCCTTGAACACCCCCAACTCAGCCTCACCATCGACATTTAGACAGTACAAAGTTGAATGAGAATTTTATTAGGACTTCTGAAAGCTCACCTCTTTCTTACCAGCCCCATGCATAAGACCAGAGTCCTGGCAGAGGGGAATATTCCAGATACGAGCCAGAGACCATCTCATCTGTGCCAGGGGCATGCCACCCAAACTGAGGTCATATAATTTATAATATAACTCCAAAGTTGAGTAAGGTGTGGTGGAGACATCTCTAGTGCCTGCATCACATGTCCTCAGGCCTCCTGCTTTCAGCCACAGCTGCTGAACAGTTCTGTGCAGCCTCAGGTCCCCTGAGCCCTGTGCTAAGCATCTTCTGCATTCTGCCCCAGGGTCTTCTATGAAGACAGTCACTCAAACATCCAGAGTGCAGGCATCCTGGCTTGCTAGGACAGTTAACACTCCCAGGACAACTCTCAGTCCTTGAGGGGACAGGAACCAGTAGATGGATGCCTGGCCTTTGTCTTTCAGGTGGATACTTCTAGAAAGCATCCTGTACATTTTTCAGGAGGGTCAACAGAATCAAGGGGCAACTTTAACATGTCCTTATGTTGGCTCCTCCTTCTGCCCCATCTCATTTCCTACTCCCACACTCCTTCTTCCCAGGTTCACCTCCCTCATGAACCACCTACATCCAGTCCATGTCTCATGCTCTGCTTGCAGGAAAACCCAAACAAAACAATACATGAGCACAGTCTTCCTTTATAACACAAGCTTTCTGGACTAACATGGCTGGTGCACATTCATTCTTCAACTCAGGCCCTAGAATAGAAACAGGGCCCAGCCATCAAGATCCCTGTGGGAATCCTGCCACAGGACACCTGGCCCCGCGCTAGGGCTGGTCCTGCATCCTAATGTAACCAAGAAATTCTTTCCAGTTTTCTTGGCTGGGTCCTTTCTAGCAGGAACATTTTGATGGCATGTGACAGAAACGGAAATTGAACTGATTTGGTCCTGTAGAATCAGGGGAGATTACTAGAAAAATACTGAAGCATCACATGAAATTGAAGGAAGCGTTCCCCAATCCATGGGAAAGGCAGGGGTGCAGCTGGGCCTCAAGGGAAAAGCCTGGCTTTTTCCACATGGAGAGGACTGTGGCCCCAAACAGCTCGGGAGGCCCATATGAAAGAAGACACGTGGATATGCAAATATCATAATGAGAAAGGGTTTCTGTAAGCTCTAGGGAGGAAGAAGATTTGTCACTATCTTTTCTGTGATTAATTCACTTGAGTGTCTAAAACAGTATCTGCAATATGGTATATGGGTAATAGATATTTGCTGAATGAATGAACAGTAGAGGGAGGAGGAGGGAAAGAGAGGAGGTGGGATTGAGGATGAAGCCATCCAGCCTCCAGCTTCGGATGAACCCTGCCTTTTCCAGGGATCACGGCTAGGGATGTTATCCCATCTTCCTCAGCTCAGAAGTTTGCTGTGGCTCCCAATTTCCTGTGGACAAAACCTGACCTCCTTAGTGTTACATGCAATTCCCTTGCAAGCTGGCCCCTATCACCTCCTCTCCACACGCCCTCCACTCAGGACACACTGGTCCACAGCTCAGGGCCATCCTGAGGGAACTGTCCTAAGAGTCCCAGTGCTCTCCTCTGGGGCAGTCACACATGCTTTGAAAGGAATTTTCAATTGTTTTTATGAGGAAGACATATTATCTTGTTCATGTAATACCCTTTGCAGAACCCAGTAGAGAATAATAGATTCTGCATAGATAGTAATACTTTCTAACTCTGGAAAGAAAGGCATTTTATTATATAGATAAAAAGAAAAGCATTTATAGCAACAAATAATCCAAATGAAAGTATTACAGGAATAAAATATTTTAAATATAAATTAAGTGGTAAAATTGAAATTGTACTTGATGAGTTGCGAGGCCTATGGCTTGTAACTTTTCTGAGAAAGTTAGAGAAGCATGAATGAGTGTCTTCACAGTGTTTGTCATTACTGTTCTTGCTACACACCTACCATTGTTTTTCCTCTTCAGAATGTGGTTTTTCACACATTAATACATTTGCACAGAGTTAATTTTGGATAAATTTGAGCCAGCGAGTGGAAGATGTATCTTATATTCCAGCAGACTGTCGCATGTGTATGTGTGTGAGAGACATTCTGCTATACTGTAGGATGCTTGAGGGCAAAGTCCTTCTCAGCCGTGGCACAGAAATACGGATCAATAAGCGTGTACTGAATGAATGAATAAGGAAAGAGAAAAGCAGCAATGTAGACTCTGTGCCTAACACTGTGCAAGGTGCTTAGCAAGTGTCGTCTCATTTAATCCTCACAACCACCCTGCAAGGCGATTTTCATCATGTCTAGTTTACAGAGGGAGAAACTGTGCCTTGCCCAAGGTCACAACACTAACAAAGGATTCAAATCCGGGAACGTCAGATCCTAACGCCCTAGCCTTTTGCATTGAGCGCCGCAGCCTTAAAAAGTTAGCTTGCGCCACCTAGTGGCAGAACCAAAGCAGGATCCAGGAACCAGGTCAGCCTGCAACAAATCTGAAAGCAGCCGGCTGTACACCCCAATGCGGCTTGCGAAACCTGGAGAAGCACTGGCACGCCTGGGTCCCACACTCACCCCCAAAGCCACAACTGGTAAAAGACAACGCAGGGCCCAGAATCAGATAGCCTGGGAAGGTGTTCTCTAAATGAAGCATCATTTCCTATTGAAATACATTTTTTTTCCTTCCCATGCTGTGAACATAGCGGTTCCCCCAACATCCTCTTGCCCTCTCAGCATGTCCAGGGCTTCTCTTGACCTCAGTCTGCTGTCCCCCTCCCGGACCCAGCACTGTTTTAACACTGAGGATCTAACCTTGTGTTCCTGAGGCCTGGTTTGGTGGTGACACGTCACCCAGCACACGCAGGGGCTGTCTCCGGAATGACACCTGGCACTCTGGGACTCCAGGCTTCTGGCTCATCTGTGAACAGCTGCGGTCATTTGGTGACGATAACGCAACAGCCCACCCATCAATCCACTCCTCTCCCAGCTGCAGTCCTGCCTGCTCAGTTTTCACTACAGTTGTTGTTTTTGAAGAGGGGCAGTGTTTCCCCTGCAGTTTACTGACAATGTTTATAGAGAAGCTATTATTCAAGCTGCTGTTCGCTGCCTCCTGCCCCCACTCAAAATACATGAAAAGTCATTCTGCCCTAGAACATACAGGTGCCTTAGCCAGCAGGCAGGTAAACATCCTCATGGTTTTGTGGTCTCATTCATTTTCTCCCTCATTCACTCTCTTCTCTCTCGCATTCTTTCTCTCATTCTCTTATTCTCTCTCATGCTCTTTCTCTCTCATTCCTTCTCTCCCTTCCTCAGTCTCTATATCTGCATCTTTCTTTCATAAGCAGAAACACACATATACACTGTGATATAAGAACATATAAAATCACACCTAAGGATATTGGAATACAACTTAAGGTGAGTGTAAAAATGTGCAGGGAATGGGCAGTGCAGAAAAGCTGGAGTCTGGGGAAAAGACTGCTAGGCCCGACGACAAGCCCTTCTCTGAACAGCCTCCAAATTGGACACAGGGAAGAACACTGACAATCCCAGGTCAATGTGCCTTCAGTTCCTTAGAGAAAAAAGGACAGGGAAGACAAAATCACCCTGAGAGTCACAGAAATGATAGTGAGGCATCTCTCTGCTTTTACTTGAAATGGGTATGCATTTTTAAATGCTTTCCTTACCTCAGATGGGTGGTGAATTCTTTTTTTTTAAAAATTTTATTTATTTATTTATTTATTTTAATTTTTTATTGGATTTTAGGTTTTGGGGTACATGAGCAGAGCATGTAAGACAGTTGCGTAGGAACACACATGGCAGTGTGCTTTTCTTTCCTTCTCCCCTTCACCCACATTTGGCATTTCTCCCCAGGCTATCCCTCCCCACCTCCCCCTCCCACTGGCCCTCCCCTTTTCCCCCCAGTAGACCCCAGTGTTTAGTACTCCCCTTTCTGTGTCCATGTGTTCTCATTTTTCATCACCCGCCTATGAGTGAGAATATGCGGTGTTTCATTTTCTGTTCTTGTGTCAGTTTGCTGAGGATGACGTTCTCCAGATTCATCCATGCCCCTACAAACGACACAAACTCATCATTTCTGATTGCTGCATAATATTCCATGGTGCATATGTGCCACATTTTTCCAATCCAGTCTATTATCAATGGGCATTTTGTTTGATTCCAGGTCTTTGCTATTGTAAACAGTGCTGCAATGAACATTCATGTGCATGTGTCCTTATAGTAGAACGATTTATAGTCTTTTGGATATATACCCAGTAATGGGATTGCTGGATCAAATGGAATTTCTATTTCTAAGGCCTTGAGGAATCGCCACACTGTCTTCCACAATGGTTGAACTAATTTACACTCCCACCAACAGTGTAAAAGCGTTCCTTTTTCTCCACATCCTCTCCAGCATCTGTTGTCTCCAGATTTTTTAATGATTGCCATTCTAACTGGTGTGAGATGGTATCTCAATGTGGTTTTGATTTGCATCTCTCTGATGACCAGTGACGATGAGCATTTTTTCATATGATTGTTGGCCTCATATATGTCTTCTTTCGTAAAGTGTCTGTTCATATCCTTTGCCCACTTTTGAATGGGCTTGTTTGTTTTTTTCCTGTAAATCCGTTTGAGTTCTTTGTAAATTCTGGATATCAGCCCTTTGTCAGATGGGTAGACTGCAAAAATTTTTTCCCATTCTGTTGGTTGCCAATCCACTCTAGTGACTGTTTCTTTTGCCGTGCAGAAGCTGTGGAGTTTGATTAGGTCCCATTTGTCTATTTTGGCTTTTGTTGCCAATGCTTTTGGTGTTTTGTTCATAAAGTCCTTGCCTACTCCTATGTCCTGGATAGTTTTGCCTAGATTTCCTTCTAGGGTTTTTATGGTGCCAGGTCTTATGTTTAAGTCTTTAATCCATCTGGAGTTAATTTTAGTGTAAGGTGTCAGGAAGGGGTCCAGTTTCTGCTTTCTGCACATGGCTAGCCAGTTTTCCCAACACCATTTGTTAAACAGGGAATCCTTTCCCCCTTGCTTGTTTTTGTCAGGTTTATCAAAGATTGTATAGTTGTAGATATGTTGTGTTGCCTCCGGTGCCTCTGTTTTGTTCCATTGGTCTATATCTCTGTTTTGGTACCAGTACCATGCTGTTTTGATTACTGTAGCCTTGTAGTATAGTTTGAAATCCGGTAGTGTGATGCCCCCCGCTGTGTTCTTTTTGCTTAGAATTGACTTGGCTATGCGGGCTCTCTTTTGGTTCCATATGAAGTTCATGGTGGTTTTTTCCAGTTCTGTGAAGAAAGTCAATGGTAGCTTGATGGGGATAGCGTTGATTCTGTAAATTACTTTGGGCAGTATAGCCATTTTTACGATATTAATTCTTCCTAACCATGAACATGGAATGTTTCTCCATCTGTTTGTGTCCTCTCTGATTTCGTTGAGCAGTGGTTTGTAGTTCTCCTTGAAGAGGTCCCTTACGTTCCTTGTGAGTTGTATTCCAAGGTATTTTATTCTTTTTGTAGCAATTGTGAATGGCAGTTCGTTCTTCATTTGGCTTTCTTTAAGTCTGTTATTGGTGTAGACGAATGCTTGTGATTTTTGCACATTGATTTTATATCCTGAGACTTTGCTGAAGTTGCTTATCGGTTTCAGGAGTTTTTGGGCTGAGGTGATGGGGTCTTCTAGGTATACTATCATGTCGTCTGCAAATAGAGACAATTTGGCTTCCACCTTTCCTATTTGAATACCCTTTATTTCTTTTTCTTGCCTGATTGCTCTGGCTAGAACTTCCAGAACTATATTGAATAGGAGTGGTGAGAGAGGGCATCCTTGTCTAGTGCCAGATTTCAAAGGGAATGCTTCCAGTTTTTGCCCATTCAGTATGATATTGGCTGTTGGTTTGTCATAAATAGCTTTTATTACTTTGAGATACGTTCCATCGATACCGAGTTTATTGAGGGTTTTTAGCATAAAGGGCTGTTGAATTTTGTCAAATGCCTTCTCTGCGTCAATTGAGATAATCATGTGGTTTTTGTTTTTGGTTCTGTTTATGTGGTGAATTATGTTGATAGACTTGCGTATGTTGAACCAGCCTTGCATCCCCGGGATGAATCCTACTTGATCATGGTGAATAAGTTTTTTGATTTGCTGTTGCATTCGGCTTGCCAATATTTTATTGAAGATTTTTGCATCTATGTTCATCGGCCTGAAGTTTTCTTTTCTTGTTGGGTCTCTGCCGGGTTTTGGTATCAGGATGATGTTGGTCTCGTAAAATGATTTGGGAAGTATTCCCTCTTTTTGGACTGTTTGAAATAGTTTTAGAAGGAATGGTACCAGCTCCTCTTTGTGTGTCTGGTAGAATTCGGCTATGAACCCGTCTAGACCTGGGCTTTTTTTGTGTGGTAGGCTCTTAATTGCTGCCTCGACTTCTGACCTTGTTATTGGTCTATTCATAATTTCAGCTTCCTCCTGGTTTAGGCTTGGGAGGACACAGGAGTCCAGGAATTTATCCATTTCTTCCAGGTTTACTAGTTTATGTGCATAGAGTTGTTTGTAATATTCTCTGATGATGGTTTGAATTTCTGTGGAATCTGTGGTGATTTCCCCTTTATCATTTTTTATTGCATCTATTTGGTTGTTCTCTCTTTTCTTTTTAATCATTCTGGCTAGTGGTCTGTCTATTTTGTTGATCTTTTCAAAAAACCAGCTCTTGGATTTATTGATTTTTTGAAGGGTTTTTCGTGTCTCAATCTCCTTCAGTTCAGCTCTGATCTTAGTTATTTCTTGTCTTCTGCTGGGTTTTGAGTTTTTTTGATCTTGCTCCTCTAGCTCTTTCAATTTTGACGATAGGGTGTCAATTTTGGATCTCTCCATTCTCCTCATATGGGCACTTGTTGCTATATACTTTCCTCTAGAGACTGCTTTAAATGTGTCCCAGAGGTTCTGGCATGTTGTGTCTTCATTCTCATTGGTTTTGAAGAACTTCTTTATTTCTGACTTCATTTCATTGTTTACCCAGTCAACATTCAAGAGCCAGTTGTTCAGTTTCCATGAAGCTGTGCGGTTCTGGGTTGGTTTCTGTATTCTGAGTTCTAACTTGATTGCACTATGGTCTGAGAGGCTGTTTGTTATGATTTCAGTTGTTTTGCATTTGTTGAGCAGTGCTTTACTTCCAATTATGTGGTCAATTTTTGAGTAGGTGTGATGTGGTGCTGAGAAAAATGTATATTCTGTGGATTTGGGGTGGAGAGTTCTGTAAATGTCTATCAGGTTTGCTTGCTCCAGGTCTGAGTTCAAGCCCTGGATATCCTTGTTGATTTTCTGTCTGGTTGATCTGTCTAATATTGACAGTGGAGTGTTAAAGCCTCCCACTATTATTGTGTGGGAGTCTAAGTCTCTTTGTAAGTCATTAAGAACTTGCCTTATTTATCTGGGTGCTCCTGTATTGGGTCCATATATGTTTAGGATCGTTAGCTCTTCTTGTTTTATCGATCCTTTTACCATTATGTAATGGCCTTCTTTGTCTCTTTTGATCTTTGTTGCTTTAAAGTCTATTTTATCAGAGATGAGAATTGCAACTCCTGCTTTTTTTTGCTCTCCATTTGCTTGGTAAATCTTCCTCCATCCCTTTATTTTGAGCCTTTGGTATCCTTGCATGTGAGATGGGTTTCCTGGATACAGCACACTGATGGGTTTTGGATTTTTATCCAATTTGCCAGTCTATGTCTTTTGATTGGTGCATTTAGTCCATTTACATTTAGGGTTAATATTGTTATGTGTGAATTTGATACTGCCATTTTGATGCTAAGTGGCTGTTTTGCCTGTTGGTGTTGTAGATTCTTCATTATGTTGATGCTCTTTAACTTTTAGTGTGATTTTGGAATGGCTGGTACTGGTTGTTCCTTTCTATGTGTAGTGCCTCTTTTAGGAGCTCTTGTAAAGCAGGCCTGGTGGTGACAAAATCTCTGAGTACTTGCTTGTTCGCAAAGGATTTTATTTTTCCTTCACTTCTGA